CACTGAAAAAATATACCGTTTGTGCCACTGGATTTGTAGATCACAGAGTTCTCAAATATGCATCTCTACCCTTCAATGCTGTTAGTCCAACGTTTTCTGGGTAGTGACATCAGCTGTTGCATGATATTGCTAAACTAATGGTTAAGCAGAATAAGCCAGCTCTTCGGTCATTACATGATCTTCTAAATATTAACTCTGTGGCAGGAATTCAACAGAGGAAGAGAAATCTGCCAAAAAAGACCTCTTTGGATCCCATACAAGAAAAAGGAAATTCTCAGTTTGTACGTAATTTGTTCCGTTGCAAAGTACAGTTGATTGCTTTCTTCCACAACAATTCCCAAATTCGTTTTAATATGAACTTGGGTCAGGTTTATGCAGGGAGAGAGAAAATAAACTAGAAAATACTTTTTGTATAAATCAGCATTAGGGAAGTAAGATTTTTTTTTATTGAAAAGGATTATAAGGAAAGAAGGAAGTGACATCCACCTGATCTGGGAACTTGCGCCAAGAAATGACAGCCATAGCATAGGGAAGATTGTGATCAGAACAAGGGTCTTCAAACTTGACCCTTCTATGACTTGTGGACTTCAACTCCCAGAATTCCCCAGCCAGGCACGCGTGCCTGGCTGAGGAATTCTGGGAGTTGAAGTCCCCAAATCATAAAAGGGCCAAGTTTGAAGACCCCTGGATTAGAATGTAAGAAGAAGGAAGGATTGCAGAAATGAAATGGAAGAAAAATAGACATGTTAAGTGATACGAACAGAAAGGAGAAATATGTAAAGGTCAGAATGAATGTGGTTTAATTGTTTGGAGCAGCTGATGCAGAAAATTGAAGTGACAAGTTCAGTTGGAAATGAAAGGGTTAAAATTGATTTCATAATGTTTGAACTGGTTATCGCGGAGATGACTGGAATTCGTAGCAAACCGATAGCTGCGTAGTGTGGTTTAGTGAAAGCCCTCCTTTATCATGCTGGCCATCTTTTTCATTTTTAAAAATGTTTTATTATAATTTCTTGGATTATTATGAGCCAGCCTGCATCTGTTCAAGAAGAAGCAAATGAGAGAGAGGCTAAGTTGATGAATGAGCCCATATCCCTCCTATTACTTTCCATGTACTCTATTTGCGTGACCTCTATCTCTTGACCTAAGTTCCCGACATCAATAGGGGATCCCCCATTTCCTTTCCAATAGCTAGTTATTGATTAAGTAAATACATAGATAAATTAATAAATAGGATGGTACGGCTGGATGAACCTGGGCTCCAGTTCAGAGTGACGTCCTTGTTCCCTTTTTGTTGTATCCTTGACTATTTACCAGAAAAAACCGGTCACAGAAAGAATGATGATGAAAGAGCAGCTGGTGATCTATAAATAACTGGAATGAACCTGGTCCAAGTGAAAGTCCATTAACACATAAAGTCACACAGCTGGTTGATTTCTCTTCAATCCAGCTACGCAACCTGGAGAGGGAGAGAGAGAGAAAGACAGCGAAAGAGAGGATTGCCCATTGCAACGTTCTGCCATGCTCCGGGAAAAGGTTGTCTCATTAGCTTAAAAAAATATGTGCACGCCACACGTGAGCACTCAAAGAATGTGTTTGTCTCAGGAAGGACTGTTGTACATTGTGGGAAGTTTACAGGGGACTCACACACAAAAAAAACCCAAATTACTGTGCGTTCCATATCTGCAGAAGTACAAATAAAATTAACATGAACTTAAATGTTTGAGAATGATTACTAGACAAATATCTTTATAAACCATGTAAAACTAGACCAGTGGTTCTCAATCTTTTTAATGCCGCGACCCCCAACCGGTTGTAAGTCCAGGACTACTCAACTGGTGCTGCACCGTTTGCAGAATGGGATTTTTGGCGGGCTCAGCAGGGCAGAGACAGCCTGGACAATTCCTATTGGCTTTTGAAAGCCAATAGAATTACTCTATTCAAGAGAGTCTATTCTATTGGCTTTCAAAAGCCAATAGAATAAAAGGGAGTAGCACAGCTAAGGAAAAGGGGGAAAAAATGACTGCGTTGTTTGGCGACCCCCGTGAAATGGTCGTTTGACGCCAAATGGGGTCCCGACCCACAGGTTGAGAACCACTGAACTAGACCTTCAACAGTGACGTTCCATATTTCATGAGATACGACTACAGGAAAGAAACCATGCAGAATTAACAGAAACACTGATTCCTCTTCTTAAACAATGACTTTGCATTTACAAGACAATTTGCCCAATTCTTTCATCATGGCAATGTTTCTCGTTGGCTGAAATGTGTAAAAATAGCAGGTTTCCTCATATGTTCTGCTCTGCTCTGGGTAATAAATAAATAAATGACAGAATAACAGAGATGGAAGGGACCTTGGAGGTTTTCTAGTCCAACCCTCTGCTCAGGCAGCAAATTCTGTACCATTTCAGACAAATCTGTTCTTTAAAACCTCCAGTGATGGAGCACCCACAACCTCTGGAGGCAGATTGTTCCACTAATTAATTGTTCTAACTGTCAGAAAATCTCTCCTTAGTTCTAGGTTGGTTCCCTCCTTGATTAGTTTCCCTCTATAACAACGAATGTGTACATGAAGGTCTAGATGTGAAAATAAATCGGTAGTATGGTAATTTCAGGGAGAAGACAGACGCTAAAAAGAAATGATAGCATTGCGCACGTCTTTGCAATTCTCCTCACGTGAGACTGTATCAGCAAATCTATCACGGTTTAATTCCATAGCTACTGATTCAGTATTGTCTTGTTCGCCCCTTAAAGAAGGAGGTTTTTCCATCAGAGGTTGCCAATAAAGGAAAATATTGCACAGCTTCAGACTCAAATGATCAACTGTGAGTTACTTGTTTTCCCGCCTCTCTTGGGGAAGATTGCACTAGCAAGAGGCCAAGACAGCAAGCAGAGAAAGGAAAAAACATATCAGCAAGGCACTTTTTTCTCCTGCCTGCTTCATCCTCCCCGCTACTGCTTTTCTTCATGACTCCTGTCTCATCGGGGCTGCTGGAAAAGGAATCACACCACTGCCAAATGAATGCTATCGAAGGAATATTTCAGATAACGATCTTTAGCAAGGGTTCTCAAACTTGGCCACTTTCAGACTTGTGGACTTCAATTCCCAGAATTCCCCAGGACCCCTGATCTTGAGGGACTGAATTTCATCAGTGCAAGAGTAGAAAGTGCTAATAACAACAGAGTGCCCGACCAATGACGAATACAGGTAGTCCTCCAGTTACGACAATTGAGGACTGCCTATAGTCTTTTCCATGGTGGTCTGTCCCTAATCTGGTCTTTCAGGTCTTCCAACACTGGAAGATTTGCATGCTACCGTATATGCAAACAAACAATACATTCTGCATTTTTAAACCCTGGAGTAACTAACATTCAGATTTCACTGACCTAGGAAATTCACTTAAATTTCAATTGATTCACTTTTTCCTCTTTCAAACAGTTGTATTTTCTTTTCTAAGCCTAAAACCCACTCTTGCTTAATTCCAGTGACTAAGACTACATTGATAGCCCAATCTTTGAAGGAGCTAAATTGTGCCTGGGTTAGAAATCAAAATGCAGGGTGCAGTTTGAGGAGAGATTATAACATATAAGTTAAGGTGACTTTCAAGGTTGGAAGTCTCCTTCGGTCTCCTGTTTTCTCTCTTATCTATTTGAACAGTGCATGTAATTTAGAATGACTCTTTTTCATCAGGTAAATATTTTAGTGCAGCATCCAGGTTTCTAGTCAACCATTAACTCCACGTTTCTCTAATTTCTCATCCAAACAATAAGCTTCTGACTTGAACCCTTCAGACAATAATTCATAATCCTTTCTGTGTGTGTGGTTAGAAAGTGATCTTTACATAGACCACTAGCAGACCAGGACAGGAATAGTCTGACATTTTTTATTTTCTAATTATGGATCTGTTTTATAATCAGCATTCCTACTCTTACTGAAGTTCAAAGTATGAGTTTAGTTGTTCATGTAGCCCAAACAGCACTACTCATGTTCCTCAAATGTCACGGTCAGCTCTAGTTGGCACTTAGACAGGAAACCCCATGCAACAAGGGGAAGTTGAAAAAAATACTTTGGCAGAAGGCATTGGATATCTCCTAAAGATATGAATTTTCTGGGACTTTGGCTATAGAAAAAGGCCTAGGATATGTTCCCATACAAATTGAGCCATACTGGAAAATATTTCTCAAGAGTCCTGCCCAGGCTATAGGAGAGGGAGAGAGGTAACTATTGAAGTGTGCAAGCATCCTTTCCCTGCTGATTCATTCTGCCTCTTCTCTGTTGACATTGAGACAACAGACAAAAACTGTGGTTTTCCAGCCAGTTTTCGGAACCTTGGGTTTGAGGTAACATTTCATAATGGTCTGACTCAGTCTAGGTTGTTCCTAGATAGTGTATCTCTTCTCCTACTATTTTTCCTCAGTTGCTAAAGAAGTACATAAAATTGGGAGAACATCAAGATCTATCCCAATCCTAATTCTTACAAAGGCCCTATAATATTAGATAGAAGTCTTATCTAATGTATGATATGATTTTTTCCCTCAATCTCCATGCAAAAACAAAAATGTCCTTATTATGATATGTATGTTGATTTTAAATCTGTTCATTGTCTGGAATTTTTTTTACAATATGCATTTTTTAGGATATGCATATCACTTCTCAGTCATTGAGCTAATGCAGAGGTCTTCAAACTTGGCCCTTTTATGACTTGTGGACTTCAAGTCCCAGAATTCCTCAGCCAGGCATGCTGGCTGAGGAATTCTGGGACTTGAAGTCCACAAGTCATAAAAGGGCCAAGTATGAGGACCCCTGGGCTAATGGGTACTATCTTCATACTTGCAATAAATAAACAGATGTATAAATAAAGGAAACTAAACTTATTTATGCTGTATACGTTATGAAACATGAGTAGAAACTGTTGTTCAAAGCACTAGGAGCCATAAACATACCAATGTTTGAATTGTTTGAATGGGTTTCCACCTTGTGCTGAGTCATGGCTTGTTTCGACATTGTTGGCGGGGTTCACCCATAATGCTGAGGTATAAAAGCATGATTAACAAGCCACGCTGCCCAGAGCCACCTAGAAGCTGAAGTCATTCAAAATCCCTACGAGGCTAAAGGATGAGGTGTCAGGAATGCTATTTGCATCATTCTTGTTAGTATTGCAATAGCGGGTCTCCGTTTTTTTGTGCTGCGGTAGTAGCTGGTGCTCTTTTGCCTCTGTCTGGTGGACCTTTAATCTTTGGGGTCTAGAAACGTTGCCCCCTCTCAGATCTTGGTGACGCTCAACCTTGAGCTTAAGCAAACAAAAGAAACAGGCGGCTGAGTTGCCTTGTCGGTTTCAAAGACCAGGTGGCTGAACGGGTTACAGGAAAGGAACAGGTTCCAGTCTCTCCTTTACAGCAAGGAAACCTCTTTCTTGCTCAGAGAATTTTGAAGGCTACCACCATCAGTGATGAAGAAGAAAATGTTTGAGACCTCGAGACTGGTAAGGAGGATGCTCTTTTCTCTTAGGCTTTAAGAAATTATTCCAAGGAAACGGCCTTATATGAAATGAGTGTTGTAACCAAGGGATGATGATGGTGGAGTTTCAGTGAATATAGAGTGCATTTTCTCCTTTTGAAGTCTTGCTTCTCTGGCTTCCAGATCTGGATTTCTCCACTAATTTGGGGCCCAATTTCCCTGGAGTTCAATTGCAAGTGGGAGTGAAGCAAATGTTTAGGGCTATCAGAACAGGGACAGCTGTTAACTATACCCAAAGAAACTGAATAACCACAAAGCACAGGATGTTCCTAAGCATGGTGATATGTAAAGAGGATTTCAGTGCTCTGGTGTACCAATTGTACAGATATGAGGCTGGGCAGTGAGTCACTGGGTTTAGCCATCATCCTGAGTTGTTTTAATCATGGTTTATTGAAGAAGAGGTAATGATCAGGTTAAAAAGTAACACCAAGCCATCTGTGATGGCTTATTAGCCAAATTGGGTTTATTCGGGTAGGATTATGCTTTCCAGTAAGCCTAAACCAAACTAACCACAGTACAGCAATGTGGGAATTAAGTCATTTTGTTAATCAGCCATCCAATTCACAACTGATGGCAAAAGGAAACATCTCTTTCACACACTACTGCTTCATAAATGCATGGAATTTTCTACTCCAAGATGGGATTTATTGGTTTTGCTTTAGCATGTTACATGTACCCCTGTGCCTTGTGGCTGTGATCTGTGCGAACTCACTCTGAACTGGGATTAACCAAGTAATGACCGGATGGAGAGGTTCTCAAACTTTCTTGGTTCATAGGACACTTAGCGTCTAATTTTTTTTCCTGGAGCTCTTATCCCGAAACTATAAACTATCTTGAGCGGGTGGTTCACCATCTGATGAAAACCTTTGAGTTTGCTACAATGCCCTGTGGGTATCTTTTGCACACCGTTTGGGAACCATGGACATAGTGCAAAGGGCAAACCCACCCAAAATATCTGTTTAGAATGCTATTCTTTTTAGAAGCTATGCACGAAAAAGCCATCTGTTTCTCAGGAGCTGGAACAAGCAGTAATGAGTGAATTCTTGCTGCTTTCTCATGCCCTGTTGGTTCTAAGATTTCTAGTGATGTCTAACTGATCATGGCTGGAAATAGATTCTAAGGCAGTGGTGACGAACCTATGGCATGCGTGCCAGAGATGGCACTCGGAGCCCTCTCTGTGGGCACGCGTGCCTCAATCTTTGGCTAGGTTTTCGCAGGAAAAAGCAATTTCTCAAGCCCCTTCCTAGCCAAAACAAGCCTCCGGAGCAAGCGTGCTGTTTTCAGCTTTGAATTATATCAAATCTGACATCAGAAACAGACTAACAGATGACCTGAGTGCTGCATGTGTTGCTCTCAAACTTACAAAGTATAAGCCAAGGTTAGACAAATTACCAGCATGCATACAACAGCAAAAATCACATGAATTGTTCAAAAGCATGCCAAATGCAAACTTTTACCTTTCAGTAAAAAGTTGTTTGTGTCATTGAAAGCTTTGTTATTGTGTTTTTCTTTTAAGACAAAAGATATTAATGTATGAGTTGTTTTTTCTAAACTAAAATCTCCATATTCAGATTAAATTGCCATGTTGGCACTTTGTGATACATAAGTGGGTTTTGGATTGCAATTTGGCCACTCGGTCTCTAAAAGGTTCGCCATCACTGTTCTAAGGGGTGTGAAATGCTGGCCTGATCCAACAAGTTCTGTGTGCCTATAATGGTATGAAAGATTTGGACAAACGTCCTTTGAAGCAAAGTCTCTCCAATTCTATAGAAGAAATATCTATTCCTATGAACCAGCAAACTATTATAAACTATTATATTTAACCAATATAAACTATTTGTTGAATCAGTGTAACATTAGTGTACTATTACTTGAATCAACATCCCTAGTAGGCATGGATTTAGAAACATGTGCTATCATTGCTACATCCAGAGGTCAAGAAAAGTCACAGTTTAATGATGCAATAGTATTTCAACCTGACTCCACTCTTCTTTGGTTGACCAAAAGTAGAATCCTGAAAGACTAGTGTAAATATTTACAGTTTGTACTATTTTTAGGCTAGACTTTGAAGGCTTTCAAGAGCAAACTGATCAATAAAATGCTCCCTTGTCTTAACTAGTAACTAAAAATAGAAATGTGGGAGGAAAGTGCAGGCTCTTTTGACTGTGTGATCATTATTTAATTAGCCATCATTCCATAAATAAACTTACATGATCCAATTTAAGTGGACTAGAAAGTGGGACAATGATTAAAAAAAATCTGTGCCTCTGAATTAGAATTCTAGAATTTATGAGGTCCTTATTTTCTTAATTTTTTTTTTCACTTATGTTGACCAACAGTCTCCGTACATTTTCCAGGTTTTGGAAGCAGCTGTAAATTGGAATCAGCGGACAAAAAGGAGAGAGATTTTTTTTTTTAATACTCAAAAAAATTTGAAATGCAAAAAAACACTTCTCGATTTTCTCTCTTGTTAGATTGTTTGTTGGTTTAGATATTTTGTCGTCTGTCATTTATTAATTGCATTGATACCGGGTCCTTCAGATAATCTAAAACAGATAGCATTTAACCTTTTTAAAAATTTCACAACAAGGGAAGCCAGGCAGAATTGTAGAAGTAGACATGGATTGCCTAATAAACTCTGTAGCTATGGGAGAACTGGAAGTTAATTTCCCTTAAAAGCAGACATTTGAGAAAGTGATTTGTCAGAAGAAGAAGAAGGAGGAGAAGGAGGAGGAGGAGGAGAGGAGGACGAAGAGGAAGAGGAAGAGGAGGAGGAAGAGGACGACGACGAGAAAGAGGAAGAGGAGGAGGAGGAGGAAGAAGAGGAGGAGGTTATTCACTTTCAAAGTACAGTGTGCATCTTCTTGAACCTTTCTTGTCCTTCTTCCCTCATAGGTGGAGCAGATCCTATCTGAATTCCAGCTACGGGAAGAGGATTTGAAGGAGGTGATGCGTCGGATGCAGAAGGAAATGGACCGAGGCTTAAAACTAGAGACGCACAAGGAAGCCTCAGTGAAAATGCTGCCCACATATGTGCGGACCACACCAGAAGGATCAGGTACTTGTTACCTTAATAGAAATGGATGTTGGGAGGGGCAGACTTAAACTCTTATTTATTTATTTTTTTAATCTCCATCACACTGTCCAAAGACTATCCTGGAACAGTAGACAGTCCTGGGATAGAAACAGAAGCATGCTAATATTAGCCATCACTTTATTGAAATGCCCATGCCAAGACTGAGTTGCACTTTCACTTATATTCTGCTTTGCTCCTAGCTTGAGAAAGAAAAGGGAGGGGGGAATGGAATGCGAGGGTGGGGGCAGCTGCAGCTGAGCATCACCTGTTCCCATGAGAGAGTGCCCAACCCAAGGACACATAGAGCAGGTCGATTAGATGGCTCGCTAGTTTCCCATAACAAAATAAACAGACATAATTGATTGTGGGCGGCCAACAGGGGTAGGGGGAATTAAATCATCATCATCATCATCATCGTAAAGTTGGAAGGGACTTTAGAGGTCATCTAGTCCAACCCCCTGCTCAGGCAGGAAACCCTATACCATTTTGGACAAATGGCTGTCCAGTCTCTTCTGAAAAGTTTCCAGTGTTGGAGCATTCACCGCTTCTGGAGGCAGGTTGTTCCACTGGTTAATTGTTCTCACTATCAGGAAGTTTCTCCTTAGTTCTAGGTTGCTTCTCTCCTTGATTAGTTTCCACCCGTTGCTTCTTGTTCTGTCTTCAGGTGCTTTGGAGAATAGCTTGACTCCCTCTTCTTTGGGGCAGCCCCTGAGATATTGGAACACTGCTATCATGTCCCCCCTCGTCCTTCTCTTCATTAAACTAGACATACCCAATTCTAGCAGCCATTCCTTATATGCTTTAGCCTCCAGTCCCCTAATCATCTTCGCTGCTCTTCTCTGTACTCTTTCTAGAGTCTCAACATCTTTTTTACATCGTGGTGACCAAAACTGCATGCAGTATTCCAAGTGTGGCCTTACCAAGGCATTGTAAAGTGGTATTAACACTTCACGTGATCTTGATTCTATCCCTCTGTTAATGCAGCCTAGCACTGTGTTGGCTTTTTTGGCAGCTGCAGCACACTGCTGGCTCATATTTAAGTTAGCTTTTGCACAGGAAACCCAGAGCTGGTTTCACTTCATCTGGGTTATTCAGTCAAGTTTATACCCTTGGTAAAATAATGTCCCAGGAGTTTCTTTTTCTGGATCCACCAATTGGACAGTTGACAGCAGTGGTGGATTCAAATATGTGAACAACTGGTTCTCTGTGTGGATGCCGCTTCCGGACGTCCATTCTGGGCCTGGGCAAAAAACAATTAGCTATCGGTTCTGCCGAAGTGGTGCGAACTGGCTGAATCCCACCACTGGTTGACAGCCCTCTAAAGGAGCCATGGGGTTCTTCTGGAGGCCATTGATTCGGGTTGCTTTTCAAAGACATAAATTGACAACGTTGTCACCCTCTGAGATTACAGAAGTTGGAGATTTTCTATCTTTGGATCTTGGCGGGACCAATTTCCGAGTGATGCTGGTCAAAGTGGGAGATGCTGAGGAAGGGCAATGGAAGGTGAAGACAAAACATCAGATGTACTCCATTCCAGAGGATGCCAGGACAGGAACCGCTGAAATGGTGAGTTGATCATCAGGCCAAAGGAACTAAATGAGATGTGGGCTGGATTTGCACAACACGAGCTATTAAATTTATACACCGCCCCTCTTCCAGTAAGGCACCTCTGCATAGCACCTCAAAAAAGACATAGTCTATGGAACGTTATAGGTTGGTTAGATGCCAAAAAAGTTTCAAGTCCCTACAACTACTAGAAAGTCAATGGATGAATTAATACTGGGAAGATCCAAATTCATGGTTGCCTTTGATCATGGAAACTCACTGTGTTTCCTTGAGTTAGTTCCTCTTGATCAGTTTAATCTACCTCATGGTTTGGTTGCAGTACAAATTAAAATAAAGAGGTGCTCATTGAACCCATTTTTAAGTCAACAACTAAGCTAAAGTTGTGTAAAAGAGGGTGTTTCAGCAGCTATTACATGTCGTGATAACAGCCCAACTATACAAGCCCTGCTCAACTGTTGGAAGGATGTGGATGTCTTGCTCTCACCTAGGATAGTGTGTCTTGCTCATTGTCGAATGACTTAGGTCAGGGGTCTTCAGACTTGGCCCTTTTTATGACTTGTGGGCTTCAACTCCCAGAATTCCTCAGCCAGGTGCACTGGCTGAGGAATTCTGGGAGTTGAAGCCCACAAGTCATAAAAAGTCCAAGTTTGAAGACCCCTGATTTAGGTTCTTGAATAAGTGTTTTGCAAGAAATAAAAAGCAATAGAATTTTAAAAAGGCAATAGAATTTCTGTGTCTCTCCTTCAGCTCTTTGATTATATTTCGGAATGCATCTCTGACTTCCTGGACAAACATCAAATGAAGCACAAAAAGCTGCCTCTGGGCTTTACATTTTCCTTTCCTGTTCGACATGAAGACATTGACAAGGTGAGATCTGAAACCAGGGATTTGCAACACTCTCTGCTGTTGACTGTATGACTTTCTCCCTGGAGCCCGTGAATCATTCATAACCATATATCCCAAAACTATTGGAGAGTGTGGTGTTCCTTCTGCCACAAATGATGGTGGAAGAACTCAATAGAGAGCAGGGGTCTTCAAACTTGGCAACTTTAAGACTTGTGGACTTCAACTCCCAGAATTCCTCAGCTAGCCATGGGAGTTGAAGTCCACAAGTCTTAAAGTTGCCAAGTTTGAAGACCCCTGGTACAGAGGGAAGCGTGGAAGAAAATATGCCAAATCTAAAAACAACCAAACAAGTCACACCAACCGCCTTGTGCTGTGGACGCTCGGAAGATGATCAATTTCCACAGAAAATTACAGATGGTCTTCAACGTATGACCACAAATTGAGCCCAAAATTTATGTTGCTAAGTGAGATATCTCTTAAGTGAGTTTTGCCCCTTTGTATGACTTGTGAATCACTGCAGGTTGTTAAGTGAATCTGGCTTCCCCATTGACTTTGCTTGTCAGAAAATCGTAAAAAGGATCACGTAATCCCGGGGACACGACCACCGTCATAAATATGAACCAGTTATCAAGGATCCAAATGTAAATCGCATGGCCCTAAAGATACTGCAACGGCCATAAGTGTGAAAAATGGTCATAAGTCACTTTTGTCAGTGCTGTTACAACTTTGAACGGTCACTTATCAAGCTGTTGTAAGTCAAGGATTACCTGTACTTCTGTTTTACGACAAAGTGGAGCACTTTCCTTGAAATTCAGCATAAAACCTAGATAAATTCCCAGGTAGTCCTTGGCTTCCCATCATTCGTTTAGTGGCCGATGGAAGTTACAATGACACTGAAAAAGGAACTTCCACTAAGGTGCAAATCTGCTAAGGCAAGGGTCCCCAACCCCAGGTGGCATGCCAGCAACCAGTCCGCACAAACAAACAAAACCTCATCTGTGGGATGCAGGCAGCGCACAAAAGCACACACTCTCCGGTCTGTGGAAAAACCTTTCTCCACAGAACCGGTCCCTGGTGCCCAAAAGGTGCTAAGGGACACGTGTCACTCCAATGTTGTCAGTGGATCCACTGTAGGTGAGCTTCTAGACAGATACTTCAGCAATGAATAGACCGTGTTAGCCATGAATCATCGTAGGATTTCTGTAGGGTTGCAGACATTTTGCAAAATTATAACAGCCTCACCCTGCATTCTGGTTGTATCTCCTATAGGAATGTTGGAAAGGCGTCAATAGATTGTTTATTAGAGTAGCTGTTAGGGAGAAGGTCATCAGTCATTGTATTTCATAACTTAAGTTTTTTCTTTTGTCTTTTTCTGTTTTTGCTCTTCTTTCTTTTCTATCTTTTTCTATCGGTTTATCTGAGGCAAAATCCTCAGTAAATATAAACCTTAAAAATCTCTTACGACAAGGTGAAGCGTTTGTGAGAATGTCATCGTTCTCACGTGAGATCTAGTCCAAGATGATCAAAATCAGACAATCTGCAATGATTCGCCATTGCTGGTACAAAGTGGCTTTTTTCTTTGCTTGAAACAAACTTTTCCATGGTATATTGTTTATTTTGGACACAAGAGGTGTGCTTGATTTTGCAAAATTTGGTCTGATTCTTTCCATGTCCTGATCTGTAGGGCATTTTGCTGAATTGGACGAAAGGCTTCAAAGCATCTGGAGCTGAAGGGAACAACATTGTGGGGCTTTTGAGAGATGCTATCAAGCGAAGAGGGGTGAGAGAAACATCATTTGATAACGTATGGTGCATTATCACACCTTTTCTCTGCTAATTCAAACCCTGAGCTATTCTCAGAGTCAGGAAAAGCAGCCTTCTAACGAAGTGGACTGCTTACTGATTGAGCATAGCACTGTCTACTCACTCTCTAAAGAACTGGGAGGCTAAGATAAGATGTTTCGATAAGGAACTGCGGAAAAATGTGGGAGAAGGGAGCCATAGGAATGACTGAATCTGTCCCATATTCCCTAAGCTTAGACTACCTTTTTCATGTAAGATGAAGAACTAAATGGACACAACTTTGTGTTTTTCCCAAATGTGCTTTTTCAAGAGACAACTGGATTTTCTGGTTTTTTTTTAAAAAGATGTTTTGCTTCTCATTCAAGAAGCTTCCTCAGCTCTGACTGGATAGTGAGGAATGGAAGGAGTTATTATACATCCAGTCAGAGCTGAAGAAGCTTCTTGGATGAGAAGTGAAATGTCTTCAAGAAAAAACAAAGAAAGTCCCGTTGCCTCTTGAAAAAGCACCCTTGGGACAACCATGACCTGGATGACTGAGAATCTTCATAGACAACTTTAGTTGTGCTTTTCTTTTATCAGTAGAATATTTAGGGTTGTTCCTTCTCCAGATGGCAGGATAAAGATTTTTAAATTGGAAATGTCAAGGGTTAACTTCCTGCATTAAATGTGAAGGAACAACAAAACATGGCCATGTCTGCAGAGACCTCTGAAATGAATCAATTATCCATCATTCCAAATGAGGGACCCTGGGAGCAAGGGAAACAATTTAGATAGAAGTAATCTTTTCTTGGAGACTGGAGGGAGGTCCCACCTCTTGATTGTGTTATTTTCTGATTAGTCTCAGTTCTCTATAGATACAGAACAATCAAAATAGATGACGTCTCCTAAAAGGGAATCGATTTCCAAGAAATTTATAGACTATTCTTCAACAAAGGGGGGGGGGAGAAATGGGAGGGGAAACAGGAAGGTTAGGAAATCTGTTTCCCTCTTCCATTATTCCAGATTTGCAAGAATGCTTATAGAATGGTCACCTTCAAACCCAATGACCACATAACAAAAGGAACATAGCATTTATTTTGAGGTGTGGTGAGACAAATCCTGCTTTGATTTTGTGCAGAATGTTAGGAAAAGCCTAGAAAGTTTACCTCAATCTCTAGCCAATTTCAGAGACAACAACCGCCAACTTTGTCTCTGCCTTCCAACATCCTTGGAGTTATCTAATGACATCATTCCGAATAGGTGGTCATTCCACATGGAGTTAATTCTTGAGATGTCCTTCTAGAAATGCAAGTGTTTTTTTTTTTTTCAATCCACTGCAGGATTTTGAGATGGATGTAGTTGCAATGGTCAATGACACAGTAGCAACGATGATCTCCTGCTATTATGAGGATCACAGGTGCGAAGTTGGCATGATTGTGGGTAAGTGGACCTGCCATGTTCATATACTTCCCTTGGGCACAACCATTGTAATCTGAACAACTCCTTCTTGCTGATTTATACTGAACCTGGTTTTATAGGGAGGCTGTCTTAAACCTTCCTAGCTTGATATTATCCTGGTGACCTCCCCATAAAATGTATTGATTGGAGATGATGGGAATTAAAGTTAAACATGTTTGGAAGGCATCAACACGAGAAAAGGTATTTCTCCCATCAGTTTACCTGATTCTTCTAATTCTAGGATAAGGAACCTGGCCTTCTCTAGATGTTATGAAAGTTGAATTCCCAGCACTTCCAACCAGTGATGTGATTTGTTGGACCGATAGTTCTCCAACAAATTCTGACTGCAGATGTTTGCATGGATATCGTAGAAACCCATTTTGAGTTATGGTCTCTCCCCAGAGCTACAGCTTCCAAGAAGCTGGGTGATGGGATGGAATGTTGTCCAGATTCCAGAGGTGCAAGAGACATCACAGTTTAGATAGTTTGTGTAGGAGAAAGACGGTGAAGACAGCTCCTCTCTAATAGTTTCCAAAACGTATGTTTTATGGTGCAAATAGCCTGCTTTAGTTTGGCAAGGTTTCTGTCTATGGGTGAGGAGCAGTGAAGGAAATTGCTTGGAAGAATCTCAACGTGTCTTTCTTGGGTTTTGGAGCCTGGTAGCACAATTAGTACATCTTTACAAATGGCTCCATCTCCATCTGCTGCTGGTTTGTTCTGCGCAGACAATGAACCTCAAGCACTTATATATGTATATGTTCCTTGATGTTCCTGTCAGATTTTTGAAAGAACACAATGGGAACAAAATGAACAGGCTTTTTCCTGTAACGGATAGGTGCTAAAGAACTACAAAATGAGGCAAGAGTTATGCTCCATTTATCTGAAGCTGAGTAATACTATTTGCAGTGCAGAGAGTAGGTTGCCTGGAAATTTGTGTTTTGGGTTCCTTTTATTTTATTTTTTTTAGCTCAGGTGCTCAATATGGCCAAATTCTTATGTGACTATTATTATGATGTAACTATTCGGGGAAGAGCTATTATCTGTCAAGCGGACCTTGTCGAGTGGTTCTTTTTAACAGCACCAAAGCTCTTTCTGACATTCTAAATATATATTAGTTGCAGCAGCCGCGATATAATGACTTTGTTTCACTTGATTAAATGCTAGCTAAGGGACTTGCAGGTGTTTTATAACCCAGGAATCTGCACAATCTCCCGCTGCAGAGCTGTAAATTCTACAGGGAGTCTTTGACTTTGGTCTAGTCACTTAGCCACCATTCAATGTTCCAACGGACCTTCCCCTAGCCTACTTACAACCCAGATTTGAAGTTCTGACGGCTGCTCCCCCCCACCTCCCCTGGCAGTCATATGATTGCATTTTGGGTGCTTGTGGCAACCAGCCCACCTTTATGGCTGGTTGCAGGATCACATGAATACTATTGATGACATTTTTTGCAGGAAACCATCATTTATTTCCAATTTGCAGCAAAAAAAAAAGGCCCTCTACGCATTGTGAAAAATGGGTTCGCCTAATGATTGCCACATTCGCTTTACAAGCATTGCATTTGCTTAATGACCATGCCAAAAAAGTTGTGAAATCAGGTGTGATCACATGGTGAGCTATCTAACAACTGGCGTGAGGTACAACTGTCATTATGGTCTTAAACCGAGGACTATCTGTGTGTGTGTTGCATAATCTTCATAATGTAATTCTCTTAACATTTAATGAAAAGAAGGACCAGGGGTGACATGATAACAGTGTTCCAATATCTAAGGGATTGCCACAAAGAAGAGGGGGTCAATCTATTCTCCAAGGCACCTGAAGGCAGGACAAGAAGCAACGGATGGAAACTAATCAAGGAAAGAAGCAACCTAGAACTAAGGCAGAATGTCCTAACAGTTAAAATAATTAATCAGTGGAACGACTTGCCTCCAGAAATTGTACACGCTCCAACACTGGAGGTTTTTAAGAAGGGATTGGACAATCACTTGTCTGAAATGGTATAGGGCAGTGGTGACAAACCTATGGCACGGGTGCCAGAGGTGGCACTCGGAGCCCTCTCTGTGGGCACACATGCCGTTGCCCCATCCTTGCCTCCCCCGCGACCCCCTCCTCACCAGCAGCCCCCCTGGAGGAGAGTAGCCCCCAGACTGGCCCATGCGGAGCAGCGCAGCCAAGGACATGGCAGCCAGGCAGCGTAGACAAGACTCTGCCCTCATGCCCCATCACGCACAGTTGATGCTGCAGAGCGTGGGCAGAGGGCGTGGCCACCATGGCGCTGCTGGGCTGCCTGGGCGATGTGCGGCGGGCCCTGGAGGCGGTGAGTGGCCCTGCGGGCAGGCGGAGTAGGCATGGGGCAGGGGATGGAGCGGGGGCGGGGCCAGTTTTTGGGCACTCAGTCTCTAAAAGGTTCGCCATCACTGGTATAGGGTTTCATGCCTGAGCTGGGGGTTGGACTAGGAGACTTCCAAGTCCCCTTCCAACTAGGTTATTCTGTTACCCACATTAGCCTTTATATGTTCCTTTAGTACTGCACTGTTAGTTGAACCTGGCGTAAAATGTCAGCTTCCCAAAATATTCAACATGGACCTGGATAACAAAGACGTGTCCAGGGTCTTCCCAATGATGCTTGGGTTGTTGCTAACTGGAGAAATCTCTTTGCCTCTCCTTCTCTTAGGCACGGGCTGCAATGCTTGCTACATGGAGGAGATGGAGAACGTGGAGCTGGTAGAAGGAAACGAGGGACGGATGTGTGTGAACACCGAATGGGGGGCTTTCGGGGAATCGGGAGAATTGGACGAATTCCTCTTGGAGTACGATCGTGTGGTGGACGAAACCTCACTTAACCCCGGTCAGCAGCTGTAAGGAATATGTCAGATAAAGTTAACCTAATTGTTTATCGCTGTCTTGAGCTTCATCTTCTCCTCTGATGATCTGGGCAACAGGGACGTGACTCTGAATCTCACTGAAGCACCAAGGCAGAAGTCATGAGTTTGGGATGGCCCCAAAGGCAATTCTTTGTGATATCGTCCCTCTCCATGGTGCTAATTTTAAGAACATTCTTTCTCAACCTTAGCAACTTTAAGATCGGTGGTCCCAGAATTATGGAAGTTGAAGTCCAAGTTGACGTTTGATCGTGGAGCTCCATCTGAAAATTGCCAAGGTTGAGAAATATTAGATTAGAGAGTAACACCAGTTGTGCTTTTCTAAGCTTAACATAAGGGTAGGTACTTTTTATCTGTTGAGAATTACTTTGTTTTAGAAGTAATCTGTTAGGGTTCACATGCAGTGGTGAATAGTTAATCCAGAGATAAGAGGGGATCCCTTCTTTCTTTCTTTCTTTCTTTCTTTCTTTTTTTCTTTCTTTCTGCCAGTCCTCCCTTTCTATTCCTTTTCTTATACAATATCCAATTTTCTCTTTTCTTTCTTTCTTTTTCTTTCTTCTTTCCTTTTCTTTCCTTTTCTCTTTCTTTCTTTTTTCTTTCTTTCCTTTTCTTTTTTTCTTTCCTTCTTTCCTTCCTTCCTTCTTTCTTTCTTTCTTTTCTTTTCTTTCTGCCAGCCCTCCCTTTCTCTTCCTCTTTTCTTTTATCCAACATCCAAATTCCCTCTCTCCCAAGCAGCAGTTTGCCAGGGAAGGAACAGAATGCTCTTACCAAAATCTGGACTGATTATTTGCACATTTTAATAAGTACAAGAATCACATGGCATTCTTTAGGCTATATGTAGCCCATACTTTCTGTAGAGAAACAGAAAGTTTGTTAAGATGTGTTGGGTTAGGAGGTCTAGGATATTGGGACACAAAAAAAACCTATGGTGGCGGGAAAATGCCCTAGTATAGAGTTTTCTAACTTGGTATGTCCAAGTTTGTTGGTGTTGAAGTTCCAGATGTGTTTAGACTTCAACTCCCAGAATTCTCAATAAAGGCCATTTTGGCTGAGATTTTGAGAGTTGACATCCACACATCAGGAGGATGTTCAAGTTGAGTAAAGCTGCTTTAGAATAGTAGTAATAACATTCATGGTTTTCTTTCTTGGCCTCATAGTAGCAAGCAGGGCTTACAAAAACCCTTCTAATACTGAAAACATCATAGATCTGAGATTTAAACTCTGGCACAAATGACCTGTGCACACACATTGGTTACTGGAAAAAAAAGTCAAATTAAGCAAAGAGGGAAAGTGGTTGTTTTCCCTTCTGTTCAGAGAAAACAACCTCCGTTGTTAGGCAATCAATCTTGCTCCATGAGTGGATTTTGTTCAAACAAACTGCAATGATTTCATCTGACACAGTAACATACTTAACCTTCCCTATTATACATATATAAATGATCTCCATGCCTTGTGGGTGTTCATGCATCTGCCTTTTCCCCCCCCTCTTATCTACCTGCCCGGAACTTCTCCTGCATGTGACTAAACTGTATCTTCCTTTCTCCAGGTTTGAGAAGATCATAGGTGGGAAGTACATAGGGGAGATTGTACGACTAGTGCTGCTAAAACTGGTCAATGAAAACCTACTCTTCAGTGGAGAAGCTTCAGAAAAGCTGAAGACCAGGGGGTCGTTTGAAAGTCGTTTTATCTCACAGATTGAAAGGTAGTCAATAACAAAATTCACTTGGGGCACTTTTTCCTTTTCTTTTATACAACATCCAATTTTCTCTTTTCTTTCTTTCTTTCTTTTCTTTCTTTCTGCCAGCCATCAGGAGAGGCCTTTGGATGCCCTGCGGATAGTTATTAGTGGGAATAAGTGGAAAGATTGTTTCGATGACATGAGCAGGTTTTTGACCATCCTGGGGGAAAAAAAATTGCATTGCAGACTGGAGATTCCTCCCTCTTCTCTTACCATCGACAATATATCAGACATTTTGCTCTTTGGCTATTTAGTTTATTTTCTCCATCCTTGCAGGTCATTTTATTCTTTGAGCTTTATGTTTCATATAAATAATAATTTGGCTTTCAATGAAGAAGGTGCTGATCTGCAAAAATATCAATGTGCACATAAAATCTGTCCTAGGGAGTGAATTTAAAGTACCGTAGGCTCTTCTAAAATGGCTGAACTCTTATCTGCCCAGAAGTATAAAAATTCCAGAGTCTCATCCTCATCAATTTTATTCTGCAAATATTATAGACTCTTATGTTAATCAGCTACGATGAGTAACAAGTCAAAATTAGCTGGGGCTTTCTACTTCGGATTTTCCACGGAAGCTTGACAGGTTTTTCATTGAAGCGTTCATGAAATTTTCATTATGTGGAAGGTTATAAATGACATTAGCTCCATGGCTTGAGAAGGAAGAGGTCTTTTTTTAACGTATTCATGCAACAATAGACTTTCTGTTTTCCAAGGGAATACCGGGCTTCCTTCACTTTAGATTATCTCAAAAAAAATAAAAATAAGGAATGCCACACACAGGTTTGCCCTGGAAATCATTAGGCAGTAGCTTAGATTAGAAAGCTCAAAAATGCTTGGTCAAAAAGCAATGACAAGCTATCACCATAGGGCAGGGATAGGCAACCTTGGCTCTTTTATGACTCGTGGACTTCAACTCCCAGAATTCCTCAGCCAGCATGGCCTCTCCCTTTTTCCTCAGCACGGCTGGCTCAGAAATTCTGGGAGTTGAAGTCCACCAGTCATAAAAGAGCCAAGGTTGCCTACCCTGGCATAGGGCTACTGAGAAATTACACGGATGTGTCACTTGACTCAGAGGAAATTTTACTTTTAGAGGGATGCAAAACAGTCTGAGATCAGAATACTTCATCCTCAGATTGTTCTCTTCCACAATTATACAATAGCTGTTCCAGACATGCTGGAAATGGACCAACCCTCGCCTGGATTGTTCCAACCTTGAACTTTTACACTGCTGTGTTTACAATCATCACCTAATCATTCTGCTTTTCTCTTGATTTTCATTACAGTCTTGCCAATCTCATTCCTATTCCCCTACCCACCACAACAGGGGTTATTTCTTCCCTGGCCATGATTGTATCTATCTGACAGACATGATTATTTTTAAAAATGTATTTATTTGTCAACCAAAAATGACAAATTTGAACGAACAAAATGAAAAAAACTTAAATTGTGACAGGGACGATAGGGATGTTAGTACACTTATGCACACCCTGTTAGGAACCTCTTAAATATAGGATGAGGTCCACAGAAGTTAAGTTGAAATTAAAACTGTGCAGGTTAGTAGCTAAGACAACAGAATTAGGTAAGATATTCCAGACTTTGACAACTGTGTTACAAAAACTGAACTTTTTTACAATCAAGTTTGATTTCGGAAAGTTTATTAGAATAAAGCGTAACTTCTCATGCTGCTGCCACAAGACTTTATCTTTCCATTTTATTTCCAGTGATGCTGGTGACTGCAAGCAGATTTACAATATTCTAACCTCTTTTGAGCTGTTGCCTTCTGCAATGGACTGTGACATTGTTCGGATGGCCTGTGAGAGTGTTTCCACAAGGGCTGCCCAGATGTGCTCAGCTGGGCTGGCTGGTGTTATCAATCGCATGAGGGACAGCAGAAACGAGGAGACGCTGAAGATTACAGTGGGGGTTGATGGATCAGTCTACAAGCACCATCCTAGGTGAGCCCTTGACGCAACCTTGGTTTCCTTTTTCAAGCATATAATTTTTTATTGGAGAAACTTCTAACAAAACAATGGAAATGGAACGGAAGATTGTAAAGAAGTAGCTTCAGATCTTTTTGACAGCATTTGTGTTTTATTCTCTCTGTCTAAGGTGACATCATCATTTCCTTCTTGCTAAGCTTTTCTAAACTTCAGACTCATAAATCACAAGTTCATTTCTCTCTTTTTTCAGCAAAAAAATCCATAAGGGGTTTCCAGTCACAGATAAATAGAGTTGTTGATCTTTCTCTAATGAAACAAGTTATTTTTGCTATCTTGGCTACTTCTATTACCCTCCTTTGACAATTCTTCAGTTCTCAGCATTTCAAAATCTTCTCATTTTTGTACCCATAACACTCCCAAGATAATAATCATATATCAAAATAATCCCTCGTGGCTCTTTTCTAATTGCCTATCCATTAATCCCAGAAAGAAAAGTTCTGATTTCAGTTGAATGTTGATCTTTAAAATCCTTTGTATCATTATGTAGTATATAATTGAACCCCAAAATCATCGGGCTTTTAAAGTCTACCAGGCATGATAAAAATGACCCTTTCGCGTTGCCCATATTTCCAGCCTAAATCTGAAAGATCCTTATACAATCCAGACAACTTTACTGGTGTCTTATAGTAACATATATCATTTTCTAAAAATTCTAAGTTATAACATAATGCAAGTGTCAATCTTTTTAACGACATAATTTCTCACAATTTCATCACTATAGTGTGTCTAAAGTTTGTCTGTGTTATCACGCACATTTTCATGACACAACTTTGTTTTCCTGACAGACGGGGGCCTCTCAAATGATCAGATATTTAACTAAGTAATGTGGTCACGCTGACATGTTGTCAATTGTGAAAAAAAAAAGTCTAGGTTTCCAGCTGAAGATACTATGAGAGAGTTTTGGTGTCTCAGAGGACTGGACAAAACGATTGCTCCCTCAAGCAAAACAGCATCCTAGCAATCAAAGCCATTGCTTGAGGGACAAAAACACTAGAGCGATGAGTCTCAACCTGGACCCCTGGGGTGTGTATGTGGTCCCTGGACCCCTGGGGTGTGTATGTGATGTCGTCACAGGGGATCCACAACGACCTGGAAAAAATGTTATGATTTAAATCTTGAGTTAAAACTGGGGGGGGGCATTGTTCCATAGCCACAAAAGGTATTTAAAAGGGGTCACTGGTGAAGAAAAGGTTGCACTCGAGTAAATGCAATCTTTTGAATATGCGTGGTCATCTGATTTCCCATTGATTCTTAGAATCTGGCATCCTCTGCATATCGAAAACATAGCTTTTGTTTTGTGTGTGTGTATTCATGACTTTTGAAATATGTGTCCATGTTGCAAATCCATGGGCTGTTCATGAGAATGAGAAGATTTACAGCTGAGAAGCCATATCAGATGTGCTTTCATTCATAACATTTAGCTCAGCCCTTAATCAGCCAGGTTGAAGGAGTTGCTGCCAAAGACATTCAATTTGCTCCAAAACAGCTCCGTACTGTGACAACTGCAAACTTCAGAGTACTAGGCAGGATATCAGAAACAATAACTGGAACCCCTCACCTCTGTGTTTCAAACTCATTGCTGAGGTTGAAGCCAACAAACTGGACTCTTGAATACCACAAAAGACCTGCCTACATGCCTGGGCTGTTTTCAGCACAACCTGCTTCATCCTGCATAAAATGAAACCTGAAATAGTGGGTGGGGAAGAGGGATCTCTTTTAAGAAGTGGGTGGCTTACCAGTTCATGTTGTTCAGATTTCTGCAGATCTAGCAGCGTGTTGTTCTATTTATGCTCCAGAGTTTCCTGAAACCCAGACAACGGAATGACCTTAGCCAGTTTTGGTTTTGATAAGCAGAGTCGTCATGTTGTGTTAAATACAGCGTAGAGCTGCAACGTTAATATCTGCTTGGAAGGGCTCTGAAATCTTTGCCTGTTTCTTCTCCCATTTGGAGAAGACTAATTCAAAAGGGTAATCCTGGAAACACTTAACTCTTCCTTTCTCCTCCTTCTCCCCCTGTTTTTCTCCTGTTCACAGTTTCAAAGAGCGTTTCCATGCATCGGTCAGGCAGCTCACTCCAGGCTGTGACATCTCCTTCTTGCAGTCAGAAGAAGGCAGTGGCCGAGGAGCTGCTCTCATCTCTGCTGTAGCGTGCAAAATGGCTTGCATGATTGGCCAATGAGATGGACCATGAAAGGAAGGCTACCTTCTAGGAAAGCACCTCTTTTTCTCAGTGATGCAGGAAGTGTTGTTTTGGAGGGCCCAGGAGCCGGACCAGTAGGAGGACATTTTTCCTGGGCAGTTGAATGACCACTAGACGGAACAACGGCTGGATCAACACTGGGTTCCTCCTAACGTCTATTTGTAGAGAATGCAATAATTCTTTCAAACTTCAGCTTCTCCTTTTTCTTCAAATTCTCCTCTAATGCTTGATGAAGGGAGGGGGATGATAGCTTAGGGCAGTGATGGTGAACCTTTTAGAGACCGAGTGCCCAGACTGCAATCCAAAACCCACTTATGTATTGTCGGGTGCTGGGTGGGTGTGTGTGGCCCATTGGCTGGGTGTGGCCAATCGGGTGGGCAAGGCCCATTGGGTGGGCGTGGCTACGGTGGTAACGGCAGACTGGGTGGGACTAAAAAGTTCAATCAATCAATGCCAACTTTGCAAGATCTTTTTTTTCCCCGCGAGAAGTTGAAATTGACTGATTGAACCTTTTTTTTTTTGTACACGGCAGTGGAGGCCTAAAGCAAAAAGGTTTTATAAAACCCAGCTGAAGACCTAGGACTGGGGCGATGGCGCGCGTGCCCACAGAGAGGAGAGAGCACATTATTCTCTATACCAACGATGATGCTAGAAGAGTGGGAGAGAGGCAAAGTGGCAGGTTCATTATGCACCCGGCTGAGTCAAGGGGTTACATTTTTCCTTAGTGAATATGAATGTGGGCTTAGGTAGGAGTCATTTGTGTCGGGTTTTAACACCCAGGTTTAATCTATTTGCAATAGAGGTTAATTGGCTTTTCAGTGTGACTGCCCATAAAACATTAGACTACCACATTGCCTATTTTTAACAAGCATTGAAGGAGACTTGGCCTCACACCCTTATCATTTCCTGATTTTCTTTTTTAGCTTTGTATTTTTTTTTTAGCTCCAATTCTATTTTTAGACACTGAGAAAAATAGAAGCGGCAATACTAAATACCACAGGCCCAAGACTGTCATTTCCTAACTATGAAAAGGTTTTGCAATTTCCCTACATGCATGAACTTGGGCTGAGCAGTGATTTGTTGATACCCAGATATTGTAATGAGCCCATTAATGTGGATGAGTTGCAGCTGGACAGAAATGCCAGTAAAGACAAGGGTGATATGTGTTGCAATGGCTAAAACTGACGACTGGGTGAATGCTATAAAGATTCTAGTCCAGCTGTACTTGAGATGAAGTAAAGAAAGATTTATGGGTAGAGTAATGAAAAAAGTAGGGTAGATCCTGGAGCAATTTGTATGAAACACTGGCTAAGATGAAAAAATGTACAGGCCCTTGTCATAAAATCAAAAAGATAAATCAGAACGATAAATTGATGTCAGAAAGTGACACGCGGACACATCTATTCCCTGGATGTTTAGCAAAGATAGGCTGGAATACAAACATATTTGCACAGTTTAGAAGTATAGATAATTCTGCTTTTTTTTTTTAATGGAATACCTTGCCAATCTCTATTTTCCCTATTGAGTTTTTGATCATACAGTCGCTTGGCTTAGGCACACTTGCTTTCTTATCACTGGCACAATATTGTTTATTTTCCTGTTTTGTTTTACTACTGAATCCTGGTATTTTTTCATAGTCTGGGGGAGTCTTTTATATTAAAAGTAACCTACATTAAAAATAAAAAAATAAAACATGGGTAAAAGTTATCCCTGTGTCATCCATTTTCCAAGGATTATTTCTATGCAGTAAATTGGAATACAGTCTATAACTGCATTATCTGTATAGTGAAGAAGTAATATACAGAGAAATCCCAGACAGACATGAAAGTCAGTCTTACTCTTTTAGTTTATTCTCAGGCTAATGTGTACAGGATTTCAGGGTTGATTATTGGGGTGGGGTAGGAAATATTCAACTACACAGTGATGATAAACTTAGGAAATAATTTAGTAACATTCACTTGTAGGGTATTTTTTTAAAAAAAAAATGAGTACATATGAAAAAGTGAATTGCTAGTGATTAATATTCTAAAGAACATAATATATAAAAGCATCCAGGGAACGCATCCAAAAAAAAAGAGGATGATAATATAATAGACTGCTTACAATGTACACACGCCAGTGTTTATACTGCAGTTGTACATTTCAAAGTTATCATTTCAATGAAACCAAAACACAACTCACACCATAATAGTGGCAACTGACATGGTAATCTTGCTAAAATACATGGGAGAAGCCCATTGAGGGGCAAACGGACTTGGGGTTAAGTCTCCATGAATTCGGAGAGGAAAATGGACATTGCCAATGGATTTGGCTTTCCTTGGTATGCTCAAGAGGGCACTGACTTTTTCAGCCTGCTTTTATCTATGGTTCCTGATAAAATACATGGAAAAAACCCATTGGGGTGACAGGCAAAGCCACATAGGGTTAGGGTTAGGTCTCCATGAAGTCGGAGAGCAAAATGGACATCGCCAATGGATTCAGAGAGCAAAGGTCTGCTTCGAAGGGAGCTGACTTTCCAAGCCTGCCTTATCTGTATTGTCTGGAAAAACACATGGGAAAACCACTTAGGGTTAGGTCTCCATGAATTCGGAGAGACAAATGGACATTGCCAAGGGATGTGGTGTGCATGAGTATGCTTAGGGAGAGCGCTGACCTTTCAAGCCTGCCTTATCCACCTTTCCTGGTAAAATACTTGGGAGAATCACATTGGAGGGCAGATCCATTTAGGGGATCAATTTTCTAGAAGACTGATATTTTAAATAGTGTCTTTAACTTAACATTTTCAAGCTTCTAATTTTAACGATTGGAGGGATGAATGGCCTGTAAACTCTCCCTCATTGTGGGCAAAAAATGCAAAGGATCTTCATCGCTCAGGACTGGACAGGTGGCCTCTTACAATATTGCTTTTCTGCTCTTTGTTAGTCAGCCTGTTGGGATTCTCACTGATACACAGGGAGTGACCCTAGCAATTCTAGTAGGTTTACTTTAAGTAGGAAATTCTAATAGGTTTGCTTTAAATAATTTCATGGATAAAAATTGTGGTAAAGTAGGTGTGTCCTACCATCAACTGTTTAGCACATATAAAACCCATTTGGGGTCAGCCAGGAAAACTCTGCTCAGAAGGGAATGCTGGACTTGAACATCCAACATTTTTCCATCAGTGGAGCCTGCTAAATGCTATGCTCTGGACCTTATCAATTGTTGTAGTGTCAGAGTTTGAAGACAACCAAGTTTGGCTGTCTTCTGAAACGGCATTCCTAATTTAGCTCACTAAGAGATAAGCTCTGAGATATAGGCTGAACTTACCCTCAACACCGTCTTGACAGACTTTCTTCTTCGAGGAGAAACTCAAGATGGTGAGTAAAGACCTCCTATCCATCGCTGCTCTATTGAATTCCTTGCAGCAGTGAGTTTCGGTTGAAGACCTTTGTCTCTGTCTCTCTTTTTCTATCTGAGTACCACATCAACTTTAAGCTGAGGAATCTACATACATTTTTTCTTTAGCCCTTAGGGTGAACAAGCAGTTGTTGGGCATTTATGCATGCAAAAAAAAAAAAAAAGAGAGAGAGAGAGAGCAAAGATTCATGGTCCAATCTTGTTGGAAAGATCTCATATGTCAGTGAGGGTTGAACATAGCTGTCGTTATCCAGTCCTTGGTGCCACTGTTAAAAAAGCAAGGAAATTGTAGAAAGTCTCTGAATAATTATCTACGTCAGAATGAACCAAAGTAAAAATTGTGGCATGTTTTAAGGCATAGTCTGCCTCTGCTTTAATTGCTTCCAGGGATAATCCTGATTTTTTTGAATGCTGTTTTGTTTTGGTATTTGGATCATTTGGATTCTTTGCTTTGCATGGAGGCAACGTTAAAAAGAAAGGTTGCATGGAAGCAAAGAAAGGGCTTTTTTGTAATAGGTAGGGTTCTCTCTCTTTTTCCCATCCATCCATCCATCCATCCATCCATCCATCCATCCATCCATCCATCGAATCTACAGAGGGTATAGGAATTGAGAATATCAGAAATGTTATGTACCTTATTTCTTTCATGCTTTACAAGAATGTAGGAGCTTATTCATCTGTTTGGTGGCTCTATGGCAGTGTTTCTTAAAATGCAGTCCTAGATCTCTTACAGATCCCCCAAAACAGTTTCAGAGCTCCTCACAATATTTGTCAGATATGGAAGATATTTGCAAAAGCAACCTACATAGAATTAAGGAAAAACTTCCTGACAGTGAGGACAACCAGTGGAACAGCTTGCCTCCAGAAATCGTGGGCGCTCCCTCACTGGAGATTTTTAAGAAGAGGCTAAACAGTCACTTGCCTGAGATGCTATAGGTTCTCCTGCTTGAGCAAGGGGCTGGAGTAGAAGACCTCCAAGGTCCCTTCCAGCTCTATTCTATTCTATTCTATTCTATTCTATTCTATTCTATTCTATTCTATTCTATTCTATTCTATTCTATTCTATTCCATTCCATTCCATTCCATTCTATTATTCTGCATTCTATTCTATTCTATTCTATTCTATTCTATTCTATTCTATTCTATTCTATTCTATTCTATTCTATTCTATTCTATTCTATTCTATTCTATCCTATTCCATTCCATTCCATTCTACTTCCATTCCATTAATATGTTAATCTCTAATGAGATTGTTAACTTTTCTTTATCCTGAATCAATAAATATATTGCGTGGAGTCATCAATTTTAATTTTTACTATAGTAAATGGTGATAAACATACGTTTTAAAAGCAGGGAGAGGTCCTGCGAGCAAAAAGGTTTAAGAAACACTATTTTATGGGAATAACAAGAACATTTTGCTTTGTATTCGCTGGGCCTTAGGACTGTGGATTCCCTCTTGATCCTTTTCCTCTTCCCAGGCTAGCAGAAAAGCAGGGACCCGGAGTAAAACTGCTAAGCGCGCACAGCGAGGTTCTTCCAACGTCTTTTCAATGTTTGAGCAGTCACAGATCCAGGAGTTTAAGGAGGTGAGCAAACCCTCGGATCCTCTAGCTGAGGAATTTATAATCAAAACTGGGCCCAGCTTGCATCCGATGCATGCTTCTTGTCAAAATATTTCCTGCATCACATTGTTCTGTTCTGCTTTAATGCCATTTCAGCAGCTGCTCTACTGCAATGGTGATTATACTGTACCCATTGTTATCTTTTTTTAAAAGGGGAATTTTTCCTGCAGATTGTTTGATCTAGCTAAGGGCAAGGATGTCAAGTACCATGTGAATAATCAGATTTTAGCCACATGGTTATTTCACAGAGCCAATAAGAGTGGAGGCAATACTGCTTATCTTGAAGGGAAGATGTTTAGCCCTGTTTTATAGCCCACAACTGGGATGATCCAAGGCCTGAAGACTAAAAAAATATGAAGAATGGCTGCAGGACCTGGGTTTGGCTAGTCTAAAGAAAAGAAGAAATAGGGGTGACATGGTAGCCGTATTCCAGTATTTGAGAGGCTGCCACAAAGAAGAGGGGGGTCAAACTATTCTCAAAGCACCAGAGGGCAGGACAAGAAACAATGATTGGAAACTGACCAAAGAGAGAAGCAACCTGGAATTCGGGAAAAATTCTCAATAGTGAGGACAATTAATCAGTGGAACAGCTTGCCCTCAGAAATCATGGGCGCTCCATCACTGGAGGTTTTTAAGAAGAGATTGGATAGTTGTTTGTCTGAGATGGTATAGGTTCTCCTGCTTGAGTGGGGGGCTGGACTAGAAGACCTCCAAGATTCTATTCTATTCTATTCTATTCTATTCTATTCTATTCTATTCTATTCTATTCTATTCTATTCTATTCTATTCTATTCTATTCTTCTATTGCAAACAATAAAAGAGAGGATGTGCAACATCTTGCAGGGATATTAAAAAAAAGTACCTTCTAAATCCAGTTTTTGTGCAACAGCTTTATTTTTCAGAGTGGTAGTGATCACTTGCAAATGTTGCCAATACAGGCTGGAAAAAAAATATTTGGAAGATGCTGCATGCAAGTGTGGCTTCTGTCAAGCATCAAGGATTTTTAAGCTCTTCAAAGAGCACACTCACAGGATAACAGTCCGAAGAATGTAATTCCTGAGAATACAGGGCAGGAACATATTTGTATGAGTAATTGTACTTGAGAATCTGACCAAGTTTACTTACTCTCCAAGGCATTCAGTTGCATTGACCAGAATCGAGATGGAATTATCAGCAAATCTGATTTGAAGGAGACATACAGTCAACTCGGTGAGTGACTTTACTTTGGTTATCAAACTACAATCTGAGCACATTCATGAATCTTTTCTTTACTAAAGATCTTGGCAGATAGAAATGAAAACAATCTGGCAATTTCCTGGGATTCAACTCCCAGATTTCCAGCGGAATGTCATAAAATTCTGTCCTCTTCCGAACTTGAAAGCCAGATCCAATCAGCTAGTATGTTCATCTACTGCTTTATTCACGGACACAACCAGGACATTGTGTAGTGAACCCGAGGAATGGATAGTAATATGTAAAGGGTTACTCTAGTAAGGCCCTAGAACAGTGGAAGATAAATTACACCAGCTAGACCAGGGGTGTCCAACCTTGACAATTTTAAGACTTCTGGATTTCAACTCCCAGAATTCCCCAGTCATCTGGGGAGCTTTGTGGGTAGAAATAAACACTTCTCATGTATCCCTTTTCAGATATTGCCCCTTCTTCTCATGCTAGAGACAACAGGGACATTTTCTTTGCAAAAAAAAAAAAAGAGCATGTCTTTCATAGCATTAAGTTCTGCTCCTCTCTGCTCTTCATTCCTTCTTTTACAGAATTAAAGTTACATTTCTCTCTGAACTGAGATGCGAAGTTTGCAGTGGTCTTTCAAGTGGAAGTGCAGTGAAGGGAGAAAGACGGAATTTGCTTATCTGTAGCACTAGTTGCAGTTGTATTATTTTTGGAGCTCTAAGTACTCCTCTTCACCTCTGGATGGTGTTACTGTTAATAAGCAGTTCCTCGGTTTCAGGACATGGAATGAACTTTTCCTTTTTCACCATGCGCACAAGGGCTGGTATCCTGTGCCTTTATCTGACATTGGGAGACCCAGTCTTTTATTTCAAGGCATTCTTTCTTTAGAGAGCAGAGAAGAGCAACAAAGATGATGAGGGGACTGGAGGCTAAAACATATAAGGAACGGTTGCTGGAATTGTCTAGTTTAACGAAGAGAAGGACGAGGGGGGACAGGATCGCAGTGTTCCAATATCTCAGGGGCTGCCACAAAGAAGAGGGAGTCAAGCTATTCTCCAAAGCGCCTGAAGGCAGGACAAGAAGCAACAGATAGAAACTAATCAAGGAGAGAAGCAACCTAGAACTAAGGAGAAACTTCCTGACAGTTAGAACAATTAACCAGTGGAACAACCTGCTTCCAGAAGCTGTGAATGCTCCAACACTGGAAGTTTTTAAGAAGAGACTGGACAGCCATTTGTCCAAAATGGTGTAGGGTTTCCTGCCTGAGCAGGGGGTTGGACTAGTCCCTTCCAACTTTATTACTACTACTACTACTACCACTACTACTACTACTATTATTATTATTGTTATTATTAAATCTGTAGGACCTAGGAATGGATGTGGTTCCTTAATTCTTGAGTGCAAGACACCGAGATATCTTAAGCATTGCTTCTAAAATTGTTATTTTTTTAATGTGCAGGAGAAAAAAAGGTTATTGATAGAAGATAATATTTGTAATTTGGGGTTGAATTGCGGGGCCCCTCGACGCTCTCTGAGCTTGGCTGTTTTCTTGAAGATATTTCATTTCCAAACTAGATAACTTCATCAGTGTTAGTGATTGCAAACTTATTACATGCTGTCTATGAACTGGTTCACTGCTTTGTCCTGGTGTTGTCCTGTCCTGAAGGCCACGTTAAGGGAAAATATACCTTCAAATGATGCCCTCTCTGAAAGGGTAGCTATTGGAAGTCTGTTGGTAAGTAGAGGTGTTATCCAAATTCCCCATATCTGATATTCTCTCCACATGCTGAGAATCTGGATTATTTCCTCACGATCTAGAACAGGGGTCTTCAAACTTGGCCCTTTTATGACTTGTGGACTTCAACTCCCAGAATTCCTCAGCCAGCATGCCTGGCTGAGGAATTCTGGGAGTTGAAGTCCACAAATCATAAAAGGGCCAAGTTTGAAGACCCCTGCTCTAGGAGACCTTCAAGGTCTCTGTTGTTCTGTACAAAAATGAAACCAAAGCATGATTAAGGAATTGTGCCTTGTTCTGTTCTAGCGTTCCACACCTGCTATACTCTAGTCTGGAAGGCATTTTGGGCTCACAATTGGAGAAAGCAAACAATAGTTGATGTATCTAGCTAAGAATGTTGACTAGGTTCAGTTTTCTCTCTGCAGGAAAAATGAATGTGAAGGATGAAGAGCTGGAAGAGATGCTGAAGGAAGGGAAAGGACCAATTAACTTCACTGTCTTCTTAACACTCTTTGGGGAAAAACTGAATGGTAAATTAGCATTATCACATCTTGGAAGCTGCTCATTAATCACGATGAGGCTCAATACTTACCTTATGTTTCAACACATCCAAATTTCCGCTTAGAATGTTGACTATCATCTGTCATTTCTCTCCCACGACAAGAGGGAACATCTTCCCCATACAAGACTCCGACTTTAGCTGCAATTAAGTGGCAGAGCTCCACCACGATGTATGCCGAAAAGTCCAGGTTTTATCTAACGCATCTCCTGGTGGGGAAAAAAAACCCCTTTTGTTATTTTCAAATTCTGGAGCGGTGCTGGCAGGCAGGGATTGAATTTGTATCATATGCTTAATCAGGTTTAATAATGCACTAGCAGATGTATTCACACCATCTAAGTTTGGTTAGATTTAATGGGATATACTTCTGCAAAATAAATGGTGAAACTTGGTTATTTACTAGTGGCAGAACCTGTTGCACAAAAGCCACCTGTTTCAAATGACTTCAAATTCAGTACCAACTCAGAAAAATCAATTCAGTTAACCACGTTAAATAAAGATTCACATTCCTGGGCTTGTGGGGTAGCAAGCAGTGTCCCAAAGCCCTGGATGCATTTTCTAGAAACCTCCCAGTTGTTGTTGTCATGTGATAGGAGAAATATTAAATCCATGACAGTGAACATACTATTTTAATTCAATTTAAATAATATGAACTCCAATTTAGCTTTATGATACTAATTATTTAGGAGCTTGCTTCTGGCCAAGTGTATTCTCTAACCTGGAAAACCCTGTGCACACGCCTGATTTAAGCAAAATTGAGAGCCATCCATATCCAATGACAGAGCTCAGAAAAGCAGTTTTATCTGTTCCTAAGTAAGCTCTATCTTCTGTAGGTACTGATCCAGAGGAATCCATCCTTGCTGCCTTCAAACTCTTTGACCCGAATGGAACTGGCTTAGTGAATAAAGAAGAGTAAGTTCAAGAACTTTCTCTTCCTCTCCGCCCCCCCTCTCTGTGTTTTGAACAATGCTGACACTTTTTAAAAATTGTTTTCCAGGTTTAAACAACTTCTGATAACTCAAGCTGACAAGTTTTCTCTCGAGGAGGTGAGGTAATCCTTCCTTAAAAATCCCTTCTTTGGCAAGAACATTTTTCTCATAAGATCACCAAAGCTAGGAGATACCTTTCTCTCCCTAAATTAATTGATCTAGGCTTGACGCTAATAGAATTCGGCTCAAAAAGGCCATCCTTGGTTACACGTGAGTGTTCAGACATGACTCACCAAATTTTTCATTTCAAACTTCAAATCCTGAGGTTTAACATAACCAGTTCAAAATCCTACCAGATTTTGGAAGTTTGCTGCTGACTTTTGAAAGCTCTGGCTTGATGTTCTCAAGAGCTGTTAGAAAGACTGAGGACCCCCGGGTGACCAACGGATTGTCTACCAATGATCAGGATGTCGATGGAGAGAGGAATCCACAGAAAGCTCACTGCCTGATTGAGTGTGATTTCCCGTTCTACTCTCTGTGTTTCTTCCTATCTAGGTAGAGCAAATGTTTTCGCTTGCTCCCATGGATGTGGCTGGAAACATTGACTACAAATCGTTGTGTTACATCATCACACATGGAGATGAGAAGGAAGACTGAAGACTTGTGTAGGGCAAGGACTGGAGGCAACTCCCATTCACCCACTCTACTTTGTTAAAGATTACAATAAATAGTTTCATGAAAAACAATGGCACCTTGGTTATGACAGGTGGGAGAAAAAGACGAAGAGTAGAGAGTAGGATGGAAGTACCTCTTGGGTTTGGGTGGTGGCTAAGGATTATGGATACTGTAATACATCCCAACTGGTGGGCACCAGATTGGGGGAAATGACATGGTTGCAGCTTGCTGACTTGCTAATCAAGCTTTGGTCTTGTCAGTGCCAGCCTTGGGCATATGCCAACTGAGGGCAAAGAAACATATGGATTGTCCACCCTAATGTGGACAGACTCTATGAGTTCTACCCATCCCACTCAGGAGTTGCCACCTGAGGCTGCTGCACCTCTTTGTCTAATGATATGATCAGTCTTACCTTCTGATTTGATTTATCTGGGCACATCCCAAGTCAACACTGCCTTTTTTTTAGGAGACCATGTTTAACTTGAAAATAACTGTTGTCAGATAGCTCCTGGCTTATTTTTTTAGCCTAGAAGGGTAAAATGGGATTTTTTTTCAATTTTCAAACTGCCACCACCAATCTGCAAAAAAAGGTTCAGTAGCAATCGTACTTTTATATACCACTTCATAGTGTGTTACAGTCCTCTCTCAGCAGTTTATAAAGTCACCATATTGCCCCCAACAATCTGGGCCCTCCTCATTGTACTGACCTCGGAAGGATGGAAAGCTGATGAGAATCGAACTGCTGGCAGCCAGCAGAATTAGCCTGCAATACTGCATTCTAACTACTGCGTCAGCACGGTCCTTCAACAGATTTGGTGTAGGACAATAAACTCATATTCCACCTTTTGGTTCTGAATCTAAAATGGGCATTTGGGGGAGAAGGAGACAAAACAATGATGATTATAATTATTTAGATTTCTTATTTGGTCAATGTCATACCGCATCTGTCCTCTTGAGCGGTGTGTAAAGCAAATGATAAAACAGATATCACAACACAGAGAGGTTACAATGCAAACTCTCCTCCTTTTGTACTTGCACCGAGGTATAGTTTCCTCTTTGCTCTTGGCCACAGTGATGATGGGGCTGGTGTTATTGTGTGCCTCGTGCTGTACTGTACTGCCTTGTCTTTCAGCTCTCCAAATTAAGTGCGAAGGGAGCTTTTCAAATACTGTTTCTAGGAAACCATTATTTTGATTCCCTCTTTCTGGAAGGCTAAATTAGAGGTGAAGATAATAGTGTAAATAAAATTAACACACATGCTATTTGTCATATAAATCTAAATAGCCCTGACAAGGAAATCAAAGCAAGCTCAGAACTGAGTGGAGGGGGATGAGAGAATTTAACTCTTTCCGACTCTGATTCACACCAAAATCACTTGTAATCACATATGTTGCAACCTATACTTTAAAAGGGAATGTAAACCATTTGCTTAACTGACTGGAAGACAACCCTGAACTTAAGATGCCTGACTTCAGAAGAGGAAAGAGGAGAAAAGATTAGAGTTAAAAATGCATCTTTTTCTTTTACCAGATTCTTAATTAATTTAAGACCCCTCAAAGATCAAGCAAAGTTGCAACAGTGTGAGGACTAGTTGCAAGTCTCTTCAGTGCAATTGTAACTCCAAACAGTTGCTAAACAAGTAGAAGTAGAATTGTCTTCAGATAATCAATTGAGGATTCTAGTTGAATCTCTTAATGCTAAGCATAACCTGAAAAATGGAACCAATTACTTAAAGATGGAGCAGTTACCTTTTGCTGGATGTGTTCAAGCAAAGCTTGGCCAGCCATCTCTCAGGGATGCTATAACTTTGATTTATACCCTGAACAGATGGTTGGAGCTGAGGATGTAAATGGCCCACTCCAGCCCATGGTTCTTTGATCTGGAAGATGTGTTTAAAATTGAGGTGAAAGCTTTGAAACCCAGGTGTTTTCAGATATGGCTTTTGCCCATCTTTTCTCCTGGCTTTTTGATTATAATCTATTTATTAAAGAAGTTTGAATCTTGATTTTTGACTTTTAAAATGAACCCCAAATATATCAGGGGAACCAGCTAAAGGCTAATATTAAGTGTACAGATTAAAATCACAATCTATAGGTATTTTTCTTCACAGTTTTCCAAACACTTGCTACCATGTTTGTCTACCTAAGCATTCTGTATTTTGTAGGATTGTTGTTGTTTTTGTTGTTGTTGTTGGACATTATAGCAATTTCCCCTCCCTTTAAAGGATAATACACATTTGAGATGATTTGCTACTTCAGGGGATGTCAGAAAACAGTTATTAAATGCTCTCTGATCTCTCTTGGGATGGAGTGAGCTTGGCCTATCATTTCTAAACATCAGAGCATGGTATTTATCACAGAATGAAATAAAACCCATTTCAAGCTGCACTCAGGGCACATTATTTTGGAGACTTCTTGTTAAAAGACATATCAGAAAATGTGGAATGCTATGGCTGGTGACAGAATCAGCAATATGTGATTAATGAAAGCCGGCTCTTTTCTGGTTTAAATTGACCTTCTGGTGCAACATACATCTGAAGGAAATGCTAGTCTTGCCTTCTACACTTAGGCAGAGCTCTCTTTCAAGAGTATGAAGCACAGAATAAGGCCTGGTAGATACTTGGTTAGGCAGAATGTGGTCAAATCCTTCAGTGGTGGAAGGTGGAAGCCAGGTGGAAGCCAATGAGCCTGAAGTCCAAGCCAAAATGATCATGAAGACAAGAGTCATCAAGCTAATTTCTCTGACAGTGTAGTGAGAAAGACTGAAAACAGGACATGACCATACTTGAGGATATCCATTTTACACCACAGGAGGGACAAGTATGGTGTAAAATGGATGCCGATGGATGACATTTTTTAAAGGTTCTGATATGTTGTACAGGACATTCCTTCCTTCCTTTTCTCCCACCCTTCTCTTCCCTTACTTCCTCCCATCCTTTTCTTCCCTTCCTTCTTCCCTTCCCTCCCTCCCTCTTCTCCCCTTCCTCCCCTCCCCTTCCCCATCTTTTAGTTCTCATTTCCTAACTGAATTATCATAGAACGCACCCAAAGGTATCAAGGCCCTAAAATGCAGCTGTTTTAGTAAGGTTTTTTTTTAACAACTTACAACTGTGAGAATAGGTTTCTTCTAAAACAGTTTCTTCTTAGCTTGTCGTGCCATGTGTTGTTGTTAATTGCAAAGTCATGTCCGACCCATCGCAACCCCATGGACAACGTTCCTCCAGGCCTTCCTGTCCTCTACCATCTTCTGGAGTCCATTTAAGCTCACGCCTACTGCTTCAGTGACTCCATCCAGCCCCCTCATTCTCTGTCGTCCCTTCTTCTATTGCCCTCAATCTTTCCCAGCAATAGGCCCTTCTCCAGGGAGTCCTTCCTTCTCATTAGGTGGCCAAAGTACTTGAGTTTCAACTTCAGGATCTGGCCTTCTAAAGAGCAGTCAGGGTTGATCTCTTCTAGGACTGACCGGTTTGAATGCCTTGCAGTCCAGGGGACTCGCAGGAGTCTTCTCCAGCACCATAGTTCAAAGGCCTCAATTCTTTGGCGCTCAGCCTTTCTTATGGTCCAGCTTTCACAGCCATACATTGCAACTGGGAAAACCATGTACTAAAATATTAATTTCCTTCTTAAATAAGCAGCACACAAGATCCTTAAAACCGCTATTCTAGCCAGCCACCATCCTTATATCCAGCATGGCTGGAGTGACCCTTGGAATAACTTACTGAAATCTTTACCTTCCAGGCTTTCACCTAAGTATTTTTTTTTCCCCAAAAAAACTTTTTTTGTGGAAAGAGTAGACATTCCGGGCTCCTGATATCAGTCTGTGTTGGGGTTTTAAGAATGTGGACTTTCCTCTAGATTTAACCCAGGGGTCTCTAAACTTGGCAACTTTAAGGCTTGCGGACTTCAACTCCCAGAATCCCTCAGCCAGAAGTCACGTGCGAATCCAACACGGAACGCCCTAAAAGGGCTTAAGCGCATGCGTCGTTTGGAGAGGGGGGGGAGCGGGATAAGTGGACACGCCTGCCCCCGCCCCCGAACGCGGCACAGCCAGCCGTTCTAAAACTCCCTCTTGCGAAGGAGGAGGGAAAAAAAAAAAAGCGACCCGGAAACTCCACTTCCAAGGTATTATTACTCTAAAAGATGGGAGTCTACGGAAGGAGGAAAGGCTGCGCGGCGCCGCTACGTCACTTCCCGTCGGCGTGCCTCAGGCCCCGCCTGGGATTCCCCTTTCGGATTCGGCGCGCTTTTCTCCTTCGCGCTCGGTCCTCCTGCGGGGCTTCTCGCGAGCCATGCGGGGCTCGATCGGCGCGAAAGAGCCGCTGACTGTTGACTCTGACGGGGGAGACTGTGTTTTCCTCCGGGTCGGCGCTTGAGGCGGAAGGGGGGGGTGGAGAAGGAGCGTGAATTTGTATGGCAGGTGGAAATCCGGCCGGTGAAGCCCTGGGGTGAGGCAGGGGAAGGTGGGCAAAGGGGTCTCACCGGCGATCGGGAGCCTTGGAGGGAAGGGCTGAGCCCGGCAGGCAGAAGTCTTGGGAATTGGGCTTGGCGGGGTAGGTTTGCATGGTTTCTGCCTATTCTTGCTGTCATTATTAGTATTATTATTGAATTTATTAGTCACCCAACTCCAGTGGACTCTTTTGCTCCATTGTACAAAGTGCATCAGGCAAGAGAAAGTAACTGGCATTTTTAAATATTGCATAATATATAAATCAATGTCCCCCCCCCCCAAGCAGTGGCTTCTACATCACCAGCCTAAAATCCTGAAATTTAAAGCGGCCCTTGAATCAGCCCCAGCTCAGGGCAGGAGTCGATGTAATCAATTGATAAATGGCTGCCAACGTGAACGTTGAGAAGGAACCCAATCAAGGAACTGCCAAACAAGCTAACAGTAAACAGCCCAAAAGACCCCCCAAGACCAGGGGTCTTCAAACCTGGCTCTTTTATGACTTGTGGACTTCAACTCCCAGAATTCCTCAGCCAGGCATGCTGGTCTAGGTCAGGGGTCTTCAAACTTGGACCTTCTATGACTCATGGACTTCAACTCCCAGAATTCCTCAGCCAGCCAGGGCTGGCTGAGGAATTCTGGGAGTTGAAGTCCACGAGTCATAAAAGGACCAGGTTTGAAGACTCCTGCCCAAGACCATCCCCACCAACACTGACAGGGCAAGGCACTGGAATATAAACTGAGACCAAATCCCACTGATGATGTTACCTAGTTGGGTAATGAAACATCTGCAAGAAAACAAGCAGGTTCAGAGAGCACCAAGGAGCCTTCAACACCTTTTCCGTCTAACAAAAAGTTGTTTACTGAGAAATTGATCAACAAACAAGCAAATAAATAAGCACGCTCTTAAAGGTTTAATTTCTTGTGAGTTTCAGCTACTTTTTGAGATGCAAAAAGCAGCAACTGGTGAAGTAGGATGCATCTCACAAAAGCCTATCCTTTAAAAAAAAGCATGTTACCGTTATGTCAGAAAAGTTGCTACCAGATTCCTGATTTCAAACTCTGTAGAGCACTTCCCTAATCACTCATTTAATTTCTTTGTCTCCAGCAGAAATCTTCTACATACCTGCTTCGTTCTCCTGCAAGGCTATGTTCTCAGAGCAAGGTGTCCAGTCTGCACAGGGACTCTTGACATCGCCGTCTGCAGTAGCTTCCACCTTTGCCCGCGTGCCCATCTCAACATACACCAACTGCTCCCAGAATTTCAGGCTTGGGGAGCGAACATTCAGTCGGCAATATGCTCATATCTATGCTACACGCCTTATCCAGATGAGACCGTTATTGGTGGACAGAGCCCGGCGTAAATGGGGTGAGCTTATCATAATGAAGCCTTGTTTTGCAGACACCGTAGGGCAGACATGTCAAACCCGCGAGGTCATGTGACATTGCGCAATGTATTGGAGCTTTTTTGCCATTGCCGGCAATGGGGTGGGCGTGGTTTCCTGATGACGGGTCTGGGCTGTGGGCCGGCAGTTTGACATCCCTGCTGTAGGGCTTTGAGGATGTATGTAGTATTGCAGTATTTTTTATTATCTTGATATGTGATTACTTTTATAATATGCTGGTTTGGAATTTATATTGAAATATGCCCATAATTGTTTCCCAAAAAATAATAAATAAAATTTTACGTTGTGAGCCCAGAAACTAGATAGATGTTGGACTTTTAAGTAGGTTGACTAGAAGTAACCCTTCTAATTAATTCAACTTCATAGACTCTTAACATTTTATCACATTTAATCTATTGTCTATTTTTCCTAAAGGGAGTAACATTACGGTGAAAAAGCTATGCGAGTTACAGATCTCAGAGAAGTGCTGTGTGGTGGGAACACTGTTCAAGTGCATGCAGCTTCAGCCTTCCATCTTACGGGAAATTAGCGAAGAGGTATGAGAAAGGGAACTTACAGGTTTCGTTCAAGAAGCTTGGGGGATGTCAAAGGCAGCTGACAGCTTAAAGAGTTTGCAACTGAGTTTCAAACCCTTTCAGGTTTTGCAATGACTTTGCTGGACTCACAGTCCTAGTGCCTTGTATAATGCTGGGGTTATAAAAAAAAATTGGAAAATGGAAAGAAGACATTCCCTGAACAAACTTCCCTTGCATAATAATTGCTCAGGATTTTGTGAGCAAAAAGATAAATTTTCTGACTAGAAGGACTTATTGTCTGTAAAACAGACTTATTGTTTTAAAAACTGCTCTCTTGCGCAATCAGGTGAACATTTAGCTTCTTTTGGAAGGGTGGTTGATGAGTAATATTAAACTTGTCCCAGTAAGACATTCAGACATGACTTGATGGCAAACATGTGTTGGAAATTTACCACCAAAGATTGGCTGTAAAAGTGATTGACCAAATGAGTAACATCATTCTAGAATACTTTTTTGTTTGTTTGTTCAATAAAACCTGCTTGCTGTGTTCCTGAGGGCCAACAAACATTAAATAGAAACATCTTAGCAATTTTCGTGAATCCATTAATCAGGACAGATTGGGAAATCAGTGCTATTTATTATAAGATTTTGCCTTATAGGCCTTTTTTTCTGTAGTTGATTCATTGCTGTGTTGGCAATGACTGAAAATGTCATAAATCCACAAGGCTCTTGCTGATGATTTCAAAAGTATTATTTCAGCATGTTGAATCCTTGATGAAAAAAAATGTGGGATGATTCAGCCATTACCAATTGTCTGTCAGTTCATGGGACAGTGGAAAAAAATTGTGGGATTGCCAGCAAATGCAAAGTTCTCCCTGTGGGGCAAAAGTCTTCTGCCAGAGCTTTTTGAGTTAAATGCACAGTGGAAACTCAGCTCTTTCCTGTTTATTAAATATGTGCTTCTAGAAATAACATATTTAAATCTTCCCTTTAATTCTGCAATCTGAAGTTACTTAGCTATCAATTTATGGTCTGCAGTATTTTTTTTTCTTAAAATGCAGTGGACATAAAATAGTCTAGAATGTTATTTGCTGCAAAACAATCAGGGACAGTGGTTGAGAGGCCTCTGTTCTGCTTACCACGGGGGAGCAATAAAATATGGTGACAAATCTTTAAAAAAATATGTCTTTCAGAAGCTGACAGAATCAGAACAATAACTACAGCATTGCTAAAACTTGAACTATCAATCTGAAAATCTGTAAAAAACAAAACAATCGTAAATGACCATAGGAAAATTCACTGCTTAAGAAGCTTTCCAAAATAGGGCAATTCCCGAATGTAAAGCAATGAGAGAAGAGACCGTTGGGGGGTGGGGGTGGTAGAAGAAACTTCCATCAGTTTGCTCTATGCTAAATTGGTATCGTTCCCTGTGGAGTCTCTGTGTCACATTCCAGAATGAAAAATGCACTAAAGGAGTTTCTTGGGCCAAGAATGGATTTAAAGTTAAGCAGCTGAAATGGCGATTTAGCTCCTGGCCAAGTGTCACCAGAGGCTTAGCTTCAAAGCTGGTGGGCATTTGCTTGCAAGATTTTGTTCATCTTCGCAGCACAATCTACCCCCCCATCCTCCCCGCCTCAAGTACATCCACGAGTCCGACGAACTGATCCTGGAGGATGAGCTGCAGCGGATCAGACTAGAGGGAGAGATACCGATCGACAAGCTGGTGACAGGTGGGCTGATGACCCTGTTTTGAGCTTCTTGTTCTCGACTTCTTTGGAAAGTCTTGACTTTCGTGGAGGGAAACTTTCCATTCAGGTGCTCACCTCTGTCCCTTTCTGGCTGTTCTAGGGACCATCCTCGCCGTCTATGGTTCAGAGAAGGATGACGGCAGGTTCCTGGTGGAAGATCACTGCTTTGCGGATATGCCAACCCAGCTGCCCATGATGGGGCCCAGCACAGACAAGTGAGCCCCCCCCCCAATAACCTGGTCCCATGACGACCTCTGCAGTAGCAGTCGGGGGGTCTCTGTCACTCAGAATACAGGCAGTCCTCAACTTAACAACCACAGTTGAGCCCCAAAGTCTGTGGTTAAATTTCTGTGACCTTTGTTAAGTGGGTTTTGTCCCATTTTGTGACTTTTCTTGCCACCGTTGTTAAACAGATCGCTGCAGTTGACCAGTTAGTAACCCAGTTGTTAAGCGAACCTGGCTTCCCCATTGGTTTTGCTTGTCAAAAGGGGACCACATGACCCCGGGACACAGCAACGGTTATAAGTCTGAACCAGTTGCCCAGCATCTGAATTTTGATCTCGTGGATCATGGGGACGCGGCAAAGGCTGTAACTGAAAAGTGGTCATAAGTCGCTTTTTCCAGAGCCGTTGCAACTTTGAACGGTCAGTGAGTGAACTGTTGTAAGTCGAGGACTACCTTTACCCTTTCCACCAATTGCAATCCTCGAACTGGAACGAGGAACAGGCTTCCCAAGTTTGTTCTCGCAAGTGGCCACATCCAGAGATATGATTTCCCAGAGTTCTGCCCTTAATGGTGGAGCAACTAACAATTACTTAACAGTTTGTTTATACCTGTGGAGGCCAAGCTATAAATTTCTCACCTTTTTTTTTGGTGGCATGGAGTGCCTACAATGGCATCCCTGAGCATCTGAAAAATATCAGGTGCCTTTTTTAGCAAAGAAAGAAAAATAGATGCATGAAACTGGGACTAAGTTTAATGCACATATTTTCCTTTTTCTAAAAAACACAACCATCCCTTAGGACAGGGGTCTTCAAAGTTGGCCCTTTTATGACTTGTGGACTTCAACTGTGTGCCTGGCTGAGGAATTCTGGGAGTTGAAGTCCATAAGTCATAAAAGGGCCAACTTTGAAGACCTTTGCCTTAGGACCTAAAATTGTGCTTCCTCCACTGATGCCAACATGGCACCCCTTCACCCTCGTGGCTTACCTGCTCATTTACAGGGACCTGACCAAGTGCCATCTTCGTGGCTGAGTGATCCTGGTGATGGGCCCACTTCCCCCGCCTTTCCTGAGAAGCTTTTTCATTTTCCTGAAAAGCCACTCTGTTCTCTGACACCCATGGCTTGTTTCTCACCTTGCAGATTTGTCTTGCTGGTGTCAGGCCTGGGCCTTGGTGGCAAGAGTGGAGACGGTCTCCTGGGCACGCAGCTTCTGGTGGACATGGTGACAGGACAGCTGGGCGCGGAAGGGGAGCAATCCAGCGCGGCCCTCATTTCCCGAGTCATTCTGGCAGGCAACATGCTTAGTCAGAATACCCAGAGCAGAGACAGCATGCACAAGGTGTCAGAAGTGTCCTGTGAGCCGTGTTGTTAGCTTATACGTTGCATTTATGTTGTGCCTTTCTTTCACTCTCTGTTCCAAGAGGGATGGATTGGTTTATTAGATTTATTTTTCGCACACCATTGTTTATGTAAATAACTCAAGCTGGTGAATGTTCCTAATATTCCTTCCTCCTGTTTTCCCCACATGAAGAAGCCTGCGAGGTGGATGGGGCTGGGAGAGTGACTGGCCCAAAGTCACCCAACCAGCTAAGGCAGGACTAGAACTCACAGTCTCCTGGTGATTGCCTCAAAGTCACTCCTCTGGCTTTCATGCTTAAGGCGGGACTAGAACTCACAGTCTCCTGGTTCTAGCCTGGCTGCCTTCACCACTAGGCCCAACTAGCGAAGATCTCTAGTTCTGTTCCTTCAGGTGGAAGATCACCAGCCAATTCATTGGTGATCTTAATACATTTAGGGTTGAGCAAGACAAAATGTATTGGCGCATCTCCTGAGGTGTGATCTCCCAGTTTTGTAGAGTTACAATCCTTTTATGCTTGCAGGATAATTCCAAACAATGGTCATCCAGCCCTTCTGAAAACATGCCAAGAAAAGTATTATGGAATCTTAAGGCAAATTGGTGTCCTTTGTTCTTTGAGCCAAGATTCCAACCTAATCATAAACAAAAACTCCAGTGGGATTTTTATGCTTCTACCAGTTCAAAAACATTTTGGCTCAGCTCCTACTTCGAGTCGGAAAGCTTTGAGCTTCTCCACCAACCCTTTCCAGTCTGTGCTATCAGTTTCTTCGTATATGCTTCATTCCATCTTTTGGATTTTGGTGTAAACCTACGTCTAGAATTTCTTGTTCTTAAAAAGAGATTTTACAATGGGGATATTTCTGCCTTATGGAGGGAGGCAGGAGGGGGGGGGAAGAGTCCTTAACGATCATTCCTCACTTTCCCTTGTATTCATTCAGCATTTCTTTCATTCCCTCTTAATTCACACCTCGCTCTTTTTTGTACACTGTCGGGCAGGCAAAATACCTCACCAAGAAGACTCAGGCGGCCAGTGTTGAAGCTGTAAAAATGCTGGATGAAATTCTGCTGCAGCTCTGTGTAAGTCTTGTTTTGAAGAAGCTGTTCTGTTTTTTCCCTCCATCCATGGCGAGAAGTGTTCTCTGGATCTAAGAAGGGCTTGCTCGCTCTCCCCTTACAGATGTCTGTCCCTGTGGATGTGATGCCGGGAGAGTTTGACCCAACCAACTACACCTTGCCTCAGCAGCCCCTGCATCGCTGCATGTTTCCTCTCTCAAATGGGTACACCACCCTGCAGCTAGTCACCAACCCATACCAGGCAAACATTGATGGAGTCAGGTAAAAACCGGCTTCTTTGTTCTGTATAGCAGGGGTCCCCAACCCCTGGGCCGTGGACCGGTACTGGGCCACAGCATGCCAGCAACCGGTCCATACAAACAAGGAAAGCCCCATCCACGGGATGCAGGCAGCACACAAAACCACGCCCCCTCCGGTCTGCAGAAAAACCTCTCACCGTATAACCGGTCCCTGGTGCCCAAAAGGTTGGGGATCTCTGCTGTATAGGATAGGTTGTTCTCAACCTACAGTCACAACTGGGGCCAGACTTTCCATTGCTAAGCAGAGCAGTTGTGAAGAGACTCTTGCCCAGTTTTATAACGTTTTGTGCCACAGTTGTGAAGTGCATCCCTGCATTTGTTAAGTGAATCGTACCGTTGTTAAAACAAATCCAGCTTCCCCCATTGGCTTTGCTTATCCGAAGTCAACCATGCTTTTCAGCACTGTTGTTGACTTTCAACAGCCACTGAATGGTTGGGCATTATTTTCTTTTTTTCTGTTTAGATTTCTGGGAACTTCAGGCCAAAACGTAAGTGATATTTTCAAGTACAGCAGCATGTCTGATTATCTGGAAATTCTGGAATGGACCTTAAGGATTGGGCATGTCAGCCCCACAGCTCCTGACACTCTGGGTAATATAACTAAGAGATACATTTGCTGGATTTTGTTTGCCTTGTTTTAAGCTTGGATGGGCTAAACCACCTTAAGCATGGCTGGCTCAGGAATTCTGGGAGTTGAAGTCCACAAGTCATAAAAGAGCCAAGGTTCCCCACCCCTGGGCTAAACCAACTCTCAGGTTGTTTGACCTGGGGTTTATTACTGAGGGATTAAAGTCTGGTTTCTAGCAAGCCCTCTCAAATGTGCAGCTCATGTATTTTGGATAAAGGAAGAGGGGACAGTTGCCTGTAGTGGAAGATCAGTGTCTGCTTCCTCCTCTTTGTATTAATTTCTGTAATATATCTTAAATATAAGACTGTGATTAAATATGTGAGTGCCCATAGTATCTAAAGCCAGTGAGAATGCAATGCAAATGTTATCACAAAGCATACAATTCTGGGATTGCAAATGGAGAATGCAGTGCCTGCACTTTCAACCTTATCTCCTAGTAGAGCACTGGCTGTAGGTAGAGCATTCTCTGCACAGGATAAAGCACATGCACATGGAACTGGAGCAGGTGTTAGATCGTTGCCCAGAACTGAAGCTGGTGTATTCCAACAGAACTTGTTCCACTGTGGGAGAGAGAGCAGGGAAAAGGAAGGCTAGTGGTGGGCTTTGGCAAGAAAATAAGGCTAGATCCCTCGAGTAGATGTGGAAGGGGTGAAGGCACAGGGAAGATGGGGATGAGGCCCAGGGGGCTGGGCATATATGCTGCATTTGGATTCAACACGATGGGAGGTAGGAGGAAGGTGCCAGAGAAACCACTGGGCAAAAACTGCATGGAGGGAAGGAGGAGCAGTAGAGTGAGGTACACCAGCTGTACCCTACTTTTCCTTTCAAATTCTCATGGATTTTGGCCCAAACTCAAATCAGCCTAGATCTGCATTTTTATGGGTGAGGTCACAGCCTGTTTGGGACCATCGAATGTCTGAAGCACCGTGTGTTGTTTCCATGCAAGGAGCAAAATGCATGTTAAGCCTTAAGGCTGCTTCTGGTGGACCATTTATTTAAAGGACCTGGTCTGCCTCGTCTTTCAGGCTGTTACCCATTTTACAAGACGGACCCCTTCATCTTCAGCGACTGCCCTCATATCTATTTCTGCGGAAATGCACCCGCCTTCAAATCCAAGGAAGTCAAAGGTAAGCCAGTATTGGCAGCTGCATCCTTTACAACAGTGGTTCTCAACCTGTGGGTCGGGACCCCATTTGGGGTCGAACGACCATTTCACGGGGGTCACCAAACAACGCAGTTCGCCATTTTTTCCCTCTTTTCTTTAGCTGTGCTACTCCCTTTTATTCTATTGGCTTTCAAAAGCCAATAGGAATTGTCCAGGCTGTCTCTGCCCTGCTGAGCCCACCAAAAGTCCCATTCTGCAAACGGTGCTGCACCAGTTGAGTAGTCCTCGACTTACGACTGGTTGAGTAGTCCTCGACTTATGACCGGTTGGGGGGTCACGGCATTAAAAAGGTTGAGAACCACTGCTTTACAAGAAAGGCTTGGCTTGGCTTCTTCCTGGCTGAGACTTGGTGGTTTTATTACTAAAGGCATAATCAATAAATTGGGAGCCGGTGTCCGGCGAAAGACAAAGTTCCATCGCTACTAGATAGAAAAGAATAAAAGCAGGATGGAAGCCCAGGACACCTCTCTTGAGTCTCGCTGTCCCAGCAAACAACTTAGATTCTCACTTGGTGCTAAGACAGTATTTAACTGTGACTGCTTAAATGAACATGTTTGCTGGAGCACCCAACATGCTAAACCAGAGTTGGCAAAAGAGACCAAAAAAATTTTCTAGTTGTTTTTCTGAAGAACCCCATTTTGGAAACTGCTTGTTTTGTTGCCTCTGAAATCATTAGCTGTTCATATAAATATGAGGATTGATGCAGAATTCAGACCTGCTCTCTAATTCCCTTCCCCTTATAAAGTAGATTGTCACCATAATGGAGTTTGCCGTCTCTTATGAGGTTTGCTGCAGAAAGGAGCCCAAAACATGCAAAAAAAAAAAAAGGGAGGGCAGGATGGATGGGTGGTGGACATGGCCAAATCACAGAATCTTCTCAATATCCCATAGAAATTTCTCATAGCTCCTCTCTGCAGAAGTTTTGTGGCTTTTGCGGCTGTTGCCAGCCTAGTACAAAAGGTTGCAAAAGCTCACCCTTGTGTAACCAGGATGGTTGTCCGAGCCCAGAATATTCTGCCCCAAAGTTTGGGGAGTGAGTTAAAATAGGCTTTTGAAATGTTTGCGTGAGCAAACAAAACACTCAGAGGCAGGATTCTATAAGTTGCTACTGTGCTATTTAAGTCTTTAAATCTCTCCGTTAAGTTGGACAGTTCAATGCTTTTGTAACTACTGAGGCTCTTTCTCAGCTGCACCAGTTCTGGTTTTTCAAGTTGGCTTATTTTTATTGGATATTTTTGTTTCTAGCAGATCCCATGAGAGCTGCACAGTACTGGAAGCTTTTTATATACTAAGTTAGAGCCTTGTCAATGCAGCCCAGCAGCGCCTCACCCAAGAGGTGCTTTTGTCCAAGTCCAAGTTAAATCAGCGTTGCTCTAGGTAGAAAAAAAAACGATGTAAATTTCCTGAACTGCAAGTTGTTTCCCAGCATCTTATGTCTTCATCATCCCCTAATCCTTAATCCTCTCTGGTAAGAGCAGGGCTTCAATTTGGGGCCTTCTCCATACAAAGCACACTCACTGCCATGGTGATAGGGCCAAAAATGGCCAAGGTGATACTAGCATCTCTCGTGGTGTCTCTGGAAGTCAGTGGTGAGAGACAGGCAAAGGTTTGTTAATACAAGCCCTGATAGATATTGGGAAAGCTTTCTTAAAAACAACAGCAATCATGAACGTTTTTCCCATCTTGGGAAGAGGGGGATAAGAGGATAATTGTGACTTTTTCCTCATCCTTCCTCATGCCTGTCCTCCCCAAATTCTGATAGTTGCCTTCATTTTTTCTTCTCCTTTTGCAGGAGAAGATGGCCAGAAAGTCTTGCTGGTGACACTTCCTGATTTCAGCACAACACACACAGCTTGCTTGATCAATTTGTGTGACCTCACTTGTCAGCCAGTTACTTTCTCCGCCTTTGGTGATGACGACGAAGAAGAAGAGACAGTGATGGAGACTGGTGACTGAGAGACATGGGCTTAGTTGTTCTCCTTCCTAGAACTTGGGAGTCATCCCTGTTCCTGCTTTTTACTGTAGAGTTTGACTTTTGGCTCAAATAGATAGGAATACAATAAAATATTCCAGTTCCTTTGCACGTGTTTGATCTTCATGACCAAGAACAAGGGGAATTTCTTACATAATTCATTTTATTCAATTAATACAACTGTTGGAAAAACCGAAATGGCTCAAGGTGATCCTGGACTATCTCCTGGGCAGTGGCGGCTTCAAAGTCATCCATGAACTTAGTAAATCTCAATCTTCCTTCTTGACCGTTGCAGTCAAGGCAATAGCTTTCCTTGATGTTAGGACCACAAAAAAGTGATGCTGACTTTGTCACTGGGAAAAGATTAGGCTGCAGCATCTCCTCACTTTGGAAAATAGCCAGAATCCTATGGGAATTCTCAAACCAGATCAAATGAGCAAAACTGAAAGACAGCCATTTATGCCTTGGAAACTTAACCTGGTTGGCATTTTGAGAAGTCAAAAATAAACTCCCCCCCCCCTTATAAATGTTTGCTCCGGTTCTAGTTATGGTTTTCATTCTACGCTTTAAGAATTCTTTCACTTCTTAAGTAGAATTGGAAAGAAGTCTGAATTTTTCATATAGTACATCCCTTCCGTAAAGGTATTAAGACTGCAGATAAGCAGTCATGGGGACACTTCGATAAAACTGTTGAGTTGTGCTCCAAGTGTGTCTGTCAGCGCTTGGTGGGCTTTATTGTTTCAGTGAATTTACACGGGGAATCAATAGCTGTGGGCCTCTGGATATAGGCCTAGTCTGCTTCTCTCCCCCCCCCCCACATTGCAAGAATCTTACACTGTAGTGTAAAGAACATAAGAATAAAGTAGAATGGAGTAAAAAAAAAAGATTAACATACCAGAACATTAAAGATTCAGCCGGATTATGTTCTTAGCTTGTTCCCTATTCTATAGTCAGTCTGAGATGTGCAGTTTGCTCACCTCAATTTCCCATTCAGCAGAGGTTTAGTGTTCCAACCCTAAAAAGAAAGCTGAGCCTTTATATCCAAAGAAGAAAGAGAAAGCTGTTTGTATGTGTGTATGTGTTTGGAAAAATAAATGATGCAAATGTGACGGCGCTTGGAGCCTGTTTAAAGCAAGGGGGTTCCTGGCGGGTCCTAAAACCAGGAGAACATGCCTCCACCTACTACAGTGAACGGATACAACTACCTGCTCCAGAAGAGGCGGAGTAGGCTTTAGGAATGTCTTTAGAACGTTCCTGGCCTGCAGTCCTCACAAGCTGACAGACTGATACTAGTCGCCAAAGTTCACTGTATACGTCTCTGCTGTGGTCATTGGAAAGGCAGTGCCAGTCATCTCCACCTCGGTTACTTCCTCCGTTACTGTCTCCCATTCCGTCACCGTCTCGGTGTAGACATCGGCATCCCAAGAAGTGGCCGACTCTGCTATGGGAGGCTCTTGACTCCACGGTGGGAGCGTGGTGCTGCTGAACCAGAAAGGAAACGCAGAACTGGGAGGAACGGTGGTGGGAAGGCTTGTGCTGGCTTTCCTCAGCCGATCCAGCATCTTCTGGCGCAGGCGAGCTCTTTGGCGCATCCTCATCCTCCAGCGCATGCGCTCCCTAGGGGTCATGGGTCGTCCCGGCATGGGCCTCCCAAGAGGGTGGTTGCCATTCATGGCCATGATCTCTCGGATGCGTTTCCAGTTGGACCGTGACAAGATGAAGTTGCACTGGGTGGCTCCGATGTCATAAAAGACGCTGCAGGTTTTGACACTCGGATTGTAGCCCTCAGCCTTGGCTATGACACGGTATTCGCCAGGATTCAGGATGCGCCAGTAATCTCCTCCACTTGCTGCAACACAAGAGAGCAATATCTGATGAGCGCTGGTGGCGCAGTGATTAGAATGCAGTATTGCAGGCTAATTCTGCTGACTGCCGACTGCCAGCAGTTCGAGTGTCAACAGCTCAAGGTTGACTCAGTCTACCATCCTTCTGAAGTCGGTAAAATGAGGACCTGGAGTGTTGGGGGCAATATGCTGACTCTGTAAACCGCTTAGAGAGGGCTATTAAGCACTGTGAAGTGGTATATAAGTCTTAAGTGCTATTGCTACGATGCTGAAACTGATTGCAGATAAGGAAATGTGTTCCAATATTTGAGGGGCTGCCACAAAGAAGAAGGGGGTCAACCTATTTCCCAAAGCCCCAGAAGACAAGAAACAATGGATTAAAACTAAAGAAGGAGAGAAGCAACATAGAACTAAAGAGAGATTTCCTAAAGGTGAGAATAATTAACCAGTGGAACGCTTTGCCTTCAGAATTGTGGGTGCTCCATCACTGGAGGTTTTTAAGAAGAGACTGGACAGTCGCTTGTCTGGAATGGTATAGGGTCTCCTGCTTGAGCATGGGGTTGGACTAGAAGACCACCAAGGTCCCTTCCAACTCTGTGTGTGTGAAAAAAGGCACATGCTTTGCAAGCAAAAAGATCAAGGAGATGCGTGCGCTAAGAAGGCTCAACATAAGGACCTGTATATTTGCCTTCACTATTTTTGACCTACCTGTATGCACATCATGTTTGATCCCCATCACAGAAATGGACACATTTGCGATGGGATCTCCTTGTTGATCTGTCACTGTGCCCTTAATACCGCGATGTACCTGTAAGACAAAGTCATTAGGGCAGGAGAATTATATTTTTATTTTAAATTGTGTAGATGCTGCTTTTCCCGTGGTCATCCACCTCAGGCCTCAGAACATACTCTGAAAAGTCCATTAAGCTATTTAAAAAATATGGATACCTGCTAAGAACTCTGATGGCTCATAGGATACTTGGCACGAATTCCAAGTTAACACACTAGATATATTTTGCGTTGTACATAACAGGAAAAAATACTTGTTCTTAGTAATCACCATCCACCAAAATGTTTGAGGGTGCTCAGAGCAAGGTCCTTAAAGGAACTAACCCTGTGAACACAGTATTTAGCCATCCAATATTTTTACTATCCTTGAGTAGCAGAGACACCAGAAGAACTAAGCGAGCTTTCAATACTCCAGCTAAGTACAAAAATACAATAGTTCAGCAGGTAAGGCATTGATCTTGAGTATAGATACTTAGATTTAAATCCCTTTCCAGACACACAGTTTATTGAGTGACTTGGGGCCAGTCACTTAGCTCAAGATGAGTCGTTGACTTATTGGTGGGAGAATAAGTAGAGACACCGCTCTAGACACCACCTTGAACTTGTAAATGTAATTTTAAAACGTGCATTAATAATTTCCCTCTTTTCCATTAAAATTACTACTTGGAGACAACAAATGGAAAGCACAAACGTTTTCCATCTACTCTATAGGTCATCCAGTAATGGTGCAGATGGACAAGTTGCCTTCTTCATGCATGACTTGGTGAAGGACACTCACACATGCAAGTAGAAGCAAAGGTGTATTATTGGCTTAATCCTTACTGACTGAGGAGGGTATCGGGTGCACCCAATGTACATTGAGATATTCTAAGCGCTAGGTGCTACTTTGCTGTATCTGCCCAGCCCAGCTGAAAAGTTGTGTTCACTGCCACTCTCTGGGCCAACTCTGTACCTCACCTGTTCCATAAAAGTCAGCATTGATTCCTTGTTGTTCTCCCACTCCTGTGGTAGTTCACTTTCATGGGGAAATTTGTCACACCCAGGGTAGATGGAGAGCTCCAGACAGTTGGAGTGTAGGTAGCTGAAATCATTCAGGGCTGAAAGAGTTATCAGGAAAAGAACATCACCCTCCACTCTCCACTTAATGACTTAATTCCCTTGACAAACACAATTCCACAAGTTGTACAAAAACTTTGCAAAGTCAGAGGATGAAGGAAATTTAGAAAACTGACTGACGCTCAAATCCTTAAAGGATGAATTTCATGAGAAAGCTTCAAGAGAGAACCGCTTCAAAAATAAATATCTTCCATTTAGCCTCATTTCCTACTGGAGGTCACACCAACCCATAAATCCATCTAAACCTAGTGTCACCTCTTACACACACACACGTACAAGATTACAATTTTGAAATCCAGATTTCCTTAACATAATTTAGAGAATAATAGTGTTAATATTGTTAGATAATTGCAAGTTAAAAATGTTTTCAGAATTCTGCAAAATCACCATCTACCTCTGCCCAAATAGTTCTGGGGTAATGCTCAACAAATGAAATAAACTTCTATATCAGATAGATAGATAGGTAGGTAGGTAGGTAGGTAGGCAGGCAGGCAGGCAGGCAGGCAGGCAGGCAGGCTATAGCAATAGCGCTTAGACTTATATACTACTTCACAGTGCTTTACAGCCCTCTTTAAGCGGTTTACAGAATCAGCATATTTGCCTCCAACAAATAGATAGATAGATAGATAGATAGATAGGCAGGCAGGCAGGCAGGCAGGCAGGTAGGCAGGCAGGCAGACAGACAGACAGACAATGGCACATATTAAAAATGAAATTTTGTTGCTTGCTCTCAAAAGGGTACACATAAATAATACACATTTAAACATGCTATATACAACATATGTACAAACCTACACCCTTAAATATAAATATTAATCATAATACAAGATGGGTCAAGCGAGGCTACCAGCTTGATGGTATCTGTGCCACAATGTAGCATCCCCCCTTAACAGTAAGAACATTAAGGGTCACTGGTCACATTTTAGCCAGTATGCCATAAGAACTGCCAAAGCTGCACTTTTTCTTAGAACCGTTTGCACTATTCCATGCAGATTAGGGACTAGGGATTAGTCTAGAGATTACCATGAAAGCCAACATCCTACCACTTAGGATGCATGCACAGTAACTCACACTCAGGATAAACGAGGAGAGAAAGAGGTATAGGGATGGCAGTCCTTATCTAAACTAAATTTAGCTATATATATATTTTCCCCTTTCCTTGTCTCATGTCTTTAAATATTTCAGTTTACTCTTTCCTCCTTCCTTTTTGTATTCTGCAAAAACGGGAGGATATTTTGAACCAAAAGGATCGACATTGTAATGAAAAAATATAGAATGCTTCTCGGGCGCTCCATGCAAATTCAGAGCTAAACAGGAGAAGACCAAAACGGCACTAGACAAACACGAGTGGAAAGCAGAAAAAGGCAGGAGAACTTGAAAGAATCTTGTTTGAAACGCGCCCATCCACATGTGCAGCTCCGTATTATCAATAGTGGCAATTCTCCTAACAGACCAGACTGTCAAGATGCCTTTCACTTGTCTTCCATGCTTCATACTTACTGCCCGCTTGTGGTTTCCACTTAGCCCCATTGACAATCCCCATCCCGTTGGTCATATCTTGGTCGTGACAACCTCCACGAAATGTTTCCGTCATGGTGAGATGGGCCGATGCGTAGGAAATTGCCAGCCAGCGGAAGATGGCATGATCTGGGGTCTCTTTGATTTCTGGGTTCTCCTCTTCATAGTCCTCCAGGGAAGGTGGAGGAGCCACTTCATTCTCATTGATGGGCCGAGCCATGTTAAAAGGATAGGTAATCAGTTTCTCGCCCCCTTGGAAGTTGGCACCAAGCACAAAGGGGATCTTCTCCATCCAGGCTAGGATGGCCCTCACCTCAACGGCCACCTGGGAGAAAAAAGGTTCCGAAGTAAAGTCATGGATGTTGGAAAGAAGGTGAACACATCACAATATGGTGGTGAGCACGGCACAAGACATCGTGGGCTGTTCCCTGACTCCACTGGATGACATTGCCAGGGCCTGCTGCCTTGGCAGAGTGAGGAAAATCTTCAGGGATGACTCACACCCTGGTTGGTACCTTTTTATTCTCCTACCATCGGGTAGGAGATACAGAAACATAGCCAGCTATACCAACAGGCTGAAGAACAGCTTCTATCCATGGGCCGTCAGGCTTCTGAATGGGGCATAACTTTACAACTTTATGCATGACAGACTCGTGAGGCCGGCGTGATGTGCAATTAGTTCACCGGGTGAAATAAGTTGGGGGCCGAGCCATGTTAAAAGGATAGGTAATGAGTAGTCACCGCGAGTTTGTGGTGGTGGGGGGCACAGAGGGAGGCTCAGCCAATTTCACTGTATACATGTTATACTTTGATAATAAAGTATTATTATTATATTCCAGTGAAAATAAGCATTTGTTTTCTTGTAAGCCATGATTGTGCTGCTCTTTTTTTTTTCATTTTAAAAATGAAGCTGTATGAAGTTCTACTTGGTAGCAGTGTTCCAGTATATGAGGGGCTGCCACAAGGCAGAGGGGGCCAGGTTGTTCACTAAAGAACCAGATGGAAAGATGCAAAACAACGGTTGGAAACTGATCAAAGAGAGAATCAACCTGGAATTGAGGAGAAACTTCCTAACAGTGAGAATGATTAACCAGTGAAACAGTTTATCCCCAGAAATCGTGGGTGCTCCATCAGTGGAGATTTTTAAGAGGAGACAGGACATTCACCTGTCCGAGACAGTATAGGTCCTCCTGCTTGAGCAGGGGGCTGGACTAGAAGATCTCCAAGGTCCCTCCCACTTCTATTCTATTCTGTTCTGTTCTGTTCTGTTCTGCTCTGCTCTGCTCTGCTCTACTCTATTCTATTCCCTATTCTATTCTATTCTATTCTATTCTATTCTATTCTATTCTATTCTATTCTATTCTATTCTATTCTATTCTATTCTATTCTATTCTACTCTACTCTACTCTACTCTACTCTACTCTATTCCCTATTCTATTCTGTTCTGTTCTGTTCTGTTCTATTCTACCTCAATTTCCATCTCAACTCCTGGTGACTTCAAAATCAATTTAGTTTTCTTAGTGATAGCCCAGAAGCAATTTCCTCCAGAATGCTTTTTTTTCAAAAACTAGCCTAAAACCCTGGGATTAGGCGATGCTCTCAACCAAATCCTAAGAAGGTCCAATCCTCTTCGTTTTTTCTAAACTCATCTAGCCCAAGCAGATGAAAACAAACAAAAAGCCCCATGATTCTATATTTTATTTCTTGAAGTGGATTATTTCTGGCTTTAAAAACCCACATACTGTACATGTTTTAGGGGCTGGTGGGTTTTTCCTGCACCAGATGCTCACCCGCCTTCCCCCATCTGTGTACTTACTGCAGCATCTTCTGCAAGGTAGTGATCAGGAATTGGCATGTGGTGGTTGGGGACTCTGTGTGGTACCCATTTTCTCTCTTCTGCAGCCCAGAGGATGCTGTTGAGATCAGGGAAGTTCTCAAAGAGATCAAAGCCTTCTTCATTCCAGTGTCCCAGAGCCCAATTCCCCAGTTCTGAGCCCTGAAAAGAGGGTGAACATGAGGTTATCCATTCAGTCATGTCCAACTCCTGATTATTGTGTGGACCAGGTCTCTCTACATCTTCCAGTCTTGCACTGCTTCTTTGAGTTTTTCTAGGCTCTGGTTGCTGTCAGTTTTGATGGTGTCCAGCTGCCAAGTTCTTTGGCAGCCTGTCTTCCAAACATAACTGCTTTCTGCACTGAATTCCCCCACATGACATGTTCAAAATGTGTGGAAAAGAGGATATGCTTGCATAATCTTATTCGTGGCTAGGCCTTACGCTTATTTTTTTATTGGTTTCTTGTTGCTTTTTTGAGACTCCCTCAATCACAAGTAGGCCTCCCTATTTTTGTTCCTCGTGGTGGTGCTGCCTGGGGACTGTAAACGTATGTGTAAAACTAACATGGCAGTTGTATGTAAACACTAACTTCAAATTTGCAAGGCTGAAAATTGCTTGCACGCTTTGTGTTCCACTTCGGCAGAAGACCTAATTCTGAACCAGCCATTTTTCTACACACACACATACACACACACACACACACACACGTATCCGTATGTGTGTATGTATGTATGTATGTATGTATGTAGGTAGGTAGGTAGGTAGGTAGGTCTTTGGTTATTCGGGTTTTCTCCCGCGTCAAATTGGAAGTGTCTTGGTGACGTTTCGATGAAGTCCCATTCGTCATTTTCAGGCTGGTGTTTTCGGCTTCGTGCTTCTAGGAAGCCGAAAACACCAGCCTGATGATGACGAATGGGACTTCGTCGAAACGTCGCCAAGACACTTCCAATTTGACGCAGGAGAAAACCCGAATAACCAAAGACCTACATACAAACACCCGCAAAAATCTCAGAAAACATATATATGTATATGTGTGTATACACACACACACACACACACACACACACACACACACACACACACAAACAGTATAGTGAAGAAAGCAAGGTGCAGCTTTGCAAAACCAAAGCAGATCTCAATATGCGTAATTTTAGAAAGTTAGCAAATCGATGCATTTCCATCTTATTTTTTTTTTCTCCTTTTAGTAATAGCCCCCAACCCTTCCAGCTTAAGGTTCCCTCCATCTATCTTTTGTTTCCTTCAGCTCTATTGACCAATTCAGCCTCACCATTTGGCTGGCAATCTCATAGCCATCGGGATTGAGTGACGGGACGAGGTGGATGCGGGTCTCTGTCACCAGGTTCCGGATGCGCGGATTCCCGTCCTTGAACTCCTTGCACATAAACTGCATCAGCATGAGCAGCAGCTCCCGACCCAACACCTCGTTGCCGTGAATGCCTGCAGTGTAGCGGAATTCTGGCTCCCCTATCATGATACAAAATGGGAAGTTGCTGATACTTCAGTAGAAAAGGCAACAAACATATTTGCATCAATACCCATCATGCTATTCCCTTCCCGGGGAAGCCGTGTTATGCAAAAGGTGGAAAGAAAGTACAGGGCAAAAGAAATTTTTGTTGTTGTTAGTTGCGAAGTCGTGTCTGACCCATCACGATCCCATGGACAACATTCCTCCAGGCCTTCCTGTCCTCTACCATCTTCTGGAGTCCCTTTAAGCTCACGCCTATTGCTTCAGTGACTCCATCCAGCCACCTCATTCTCTGTCGTCCCCTTCTTCTATTGCCCTCCATCTTTCCCAGCATCAGGCTCTTCTCCAGTGAGTCCTTCCTTCTCATTAGGTGGCCAAAGTACTTGAGTTTCAACTTCAGCATCTGGCCTTCTAAAGAACAGTTGGGGTTGATCTCCTCTAGGACTCACCGATTTGATCGCCTTGCAGTCCAGGGGACTCGCAGGAGTCTTCCCCAGCACCAGAGTTCAAAGGCCTCCATTCTTTGGCGCTCAGCCTTTCTTATGGTCCAACTTTCACAGCCATACATTTTACAAGGTAACGAAAGTCTACTATTTGCTCTAATTTCTTATTATTTATATATGGCTTCAATCATTTCATATTATCCCTTTCAAGCATAACTACTTTTATCTTCAATATGTTAATTTTTAGATCTGCAGGTAGTCCGTTTGTTTAGTGACCATCTGAAGTTACTATAGGACTGAAAAAATGGCTTATGATCAGTTCTTATGCTTAGGATCATCACAGTGTCCAGACAGTCACATCAAATCAGTCAGCAGACCAATAGTCAAATCAAAGTTTGGTTGCTTGGCAACCAGCATCTATTTATGACAGTTGCAGTGTCCCAGGGTCACGTGATTGTCATTTGCGACCTTCCCAGCTGGCAAAGTCAATGGGGGAAGTCTGGTTTATTTAACAACTGCAACATCCATTTAACAACCACACTGATTTGCTTAACAGCATGACAAAAAAAAATCACTTTACTTAACAAGCACTTTGCTGATAATAATAAGTAAAATATGTATGTAGCTGTGTGCAAGTGTATAAGTCTATTGTGTCTCTGGGTGTGCACCCAGGCTCTTCTCTTGAACTAAGATGAAAAGAACTGCGATCCAACCTGCATAATATGTTGGGATGTTTGAGTCCTTTGGGCCTGGCCTGCAGAAGGCAGAGGGATTCTTACCCAGTTCATGTTCCCCTGGATTATCCGATATCTCCATAGCATAGATCTTAAGCCCTCGAAAGCTTTTGCCAATATTGTAGATACGGGTGATTGTGGGACATTCTTCATTCACCACCTTCATAAGCTGCAGGGAAGGAAAACAATGGTAAGAGCTGTGGTGGCACAGTGGTTAAAATGCAGTATTGCAGGCTAACTCTGCTTACTGCTAGGAGTTCAATTCGGCTCAAGGTTGACTTAGCCTTCCATCCTTCTGAGGTTGGTAAAATGAGGACCCAGATTGTTGGGGGCAGAATGCTGACTCTGTAGACCATTTAGAGAGAGCTGTAAAACACTGTGAAGTCTAAGTGCTATTTGCTATTACTCCCAGCTAGAAAATTGAAAATAAAGGTGGGGTTAGGTGGAATCTTTTGAGGGATTCACATCCTGCAGATATGCTGAACAACTTCCAAGGGTAATTCATAGGACATACAACCCATCTGAGGATCTCAGACACTGTTGTATTCAAGTTGAAATCAAAATTCGAGTGGATATATTGTCTGTTATTCTTTACCTCTAACCTGCCTAAAGGTCTTCAAAGCATCATTTCTTAAAGAGTAAAGATCTTCTCCAACATGCCTATAGTCACCTGTCTCATGTCCTTGTAGTTGTGATGGCGAAAGTCCAGGTTGTCCACTGATGTCATCACTTCATTTTGCAAACTGTAGTAGCTGTGGATGCCTGCAAAAAGAAGGGAAGAGCAGATCAAACATGGCGAGAACTTTAATACGAATTGTCTCTCTTTAATACCAAATCAATAGCGGTTTATTACCCGGTCAGAATTTTAGTTCTGCTTAGCCCAATACTACCAGTTTTTCTAGCAGCAGACCCTTAAGAGTTTGGTTTTTCAAAATGCTCCTTTTGAACTGGACAAGGATCTTCTACAAGCAACACTAAGCACTGAGATGAATTTGAATGTTCAGGTAGTTCTCAACATACAACCATTTGTGTAGCAATCATTTGAAGTTACGAGGGCAAACAAAGTGACTTATAGCCGGTCCTCATACTTAGAACCGTCACAACATCCCCATGTATCAGAACCCGTATCAATAGATTCCCAATTCCTTTTCTTCCCCCCTCCCGCATCTACTATTTCTTTCTCCTTCATCTTGACCCGAATCTCACTCTCTTCTCATCCTGGGTTCTGCATGCTCCTAGCGGGGAGGGGGGAAGTGCTTGAGGGTTATTGCCTAACTTCCTCTATTGCTAAAATGTAACACTTTGCTTTCCTGCAATATTTCTTGTGAACTTTCCCATTACTGTCAGCTAGCAAAGGGAGGGGAAGAATGGAATGCAACCTCCTGCGACTCTGCTTTATCTCCGTGCTTCCAGAGAAAGTGCAACCATCTGCTTTATCTCCGTGCTTCCAGAGAAAGTGCAACCATCGCAACTACAACCAGAGACTGGCCCATGTTATCTCCCTGTTCCTATGGGGAACCTAACACGTGGGGATTGGGCCATTTGAACTGACCGGATGAATTATGGGGTGGGGTTTTGCTTGGGATACTTTTACCTATCGATCTAGGCAGGAAATCCTCAGATCCTGTCTAGTATGCCTGCTATTAACTTCTCCTAATAAAAGATCCTTTTGGAAGAAACCGCTTCCACGAGTTCTGCTTTCTTGGGATGAGGTTTTGAAGTGGGCCCTGACACCATGGTCATGTGATCAAAATTAAGGTGCTTGACAACAAACGTATTCCTGATTACTACAAGGTCCCAGGGCCACGTGATTGCCATTTGCGGTCTCTCCAGGTGGCTTCCAACAAGCAAAACCAATAGTGGGAGCTGGATTTGCTTAATGATTATGTGATTCATTTAACAACAGCAGTGCAAAAAAAGATTGTAAAATGAGGCAAAAATCACTTGACCACCCCCTTGCTTAGCAACGGAAATTCTGTCCCGGTTGTGGTCATAAGTTGAGGACTGCCTGTACTGTATTATGGTAACTTTTGCACCTACTCAGATATAGTTTTAAACCGGTCGATGCTCTGCCCCGTTCTACAGACCACCGTTTCTCCCATACTTACTGGAGAGGGGACAGCCCAGAACCTCCAGTCTCATACAGAGGCTACCGTTCCAGGTCAATGGAAAGACCCGAATATAACGGGCCACCTTCGGTTCTTGGAATTCGGTCATCACAGGAGTGTCCTTGTCAACATTTCCATAAAAAAGCTAGAAAAGGGGAAAGGGAGTTAGAACAGGGGGAAGGCTTTTCTGCCAGTCAAGAACATCCAGCTACTATCTAACTGTATCCTAAAGAGACTCCTTGTTGTTTTCTTCAAGACCTTTCTAATGTAGCACTTATTGTACTTATATCAGGGGTCCTCTTTAAAACTTGGCCACTTTAAGACTTGTGGACTTCAACTCCCAGAATTCCCCAGCCAGCATAGTTGAAGTCTTAAAGTGGCCAAGTTTGAGGACCCCTGACATATATCCTTTGGGCATGTGTCCATTAAAATAAGGTTTTGGTTTTGGTTTTACTGTTTTACTGTTTTACTGTCATATCTTTTGGTGTTCCTTTTGAACAATTTTTTTTTCACTATTTTGACTGTCCTACAGGTTCGTACCACCACGTCTGATCTTTTTCTCTGCGGTCCCTCTGGAAATTAATCTTGAAATCGACAGACCGATTTGCAAATGAAGGAACAACCAAGTTGGAGAGTGACCATGGCCCTCAGACTTATGAAGCCTCTTGAATTCAACAACACAATACGGGTCCTTGCTAATCAGGACAAAGTTTTCAGTACCCCGGGCCTGACTTTTTTCTACTTGGCCTCCTTCAGCTGTGTTGGGATTACCACCTCCATAATTCCCAGCCAGCAGAGTCACTGCCAATTTTGGGAATTGCTGTTTCAGCCCATCTGGATCCTGTCAGCTCAGGCCAGGAGTGAATAAAAGAACACTGTTAAAAGATAAATCACTTCACATCAGGGACCAGTAGGGTTTTCCAAGGTCAAGTACATACCATTTCTTCATAACCATTACTGTACATGAGCCAGTTCTGGCTATCATTGCTGAAGCCAACGTAGAAAGTGGTGACAAAGTCCTCACTAGGATAGATAAAAGAGAAAGAGAAGGCTGATTGGTGGGAGCTAGGAAGCCGACTGGAGGCAACAGGGGTGTTCTTATCTTTCCCCCTTTTAAGAAAACCAGAATTCTAGTCTTGATTAAGAGAACCTGAATAATGGGAATGAAGCTGGGAAAGGACTCAAAAGCCATAAGATAATCCAGAAAACTTCCACTAATCAGGAACTGGAATCCCCCAATCCTATCTGCTCATCATAGTCATGATTATACAATAAAATACCCATCATATAAAATTCATTTTCTTCTTTAATTGCAGATTTGTAGAGGAGATCCAATGTTGAGCAAGCACTGCATTGTTGTCCATTTTCCCATCCACATGAATTTATTTCACCCAGGCAACTGATCCTACAAGACCCCACACATACAGCACACTTGCCGGAACCCTCACATACTGGAGGAGAGAATCCCGGCCTTGGATGATGACTCCTGTGAACTTGGTAATTCGTCTTGTGTCCACCTGGATCCACTGTATGCTACTTTCATCCTCTGCGCACCATGCACCATCAAAGTAATCATTCTCATTGGATCCAGCCTGGAGTGGAGAAACATAACAAGGAAAGCACAGAAGTACATCTTTAAATCAGCATTGAATTGATTTAAAGCTCAACTTTCTGGAAAAAGATGTAGGAAGTGGGTAATTCATAACACCCATGCAGCAAATAAATTTAAATTATGGAGGGTCACCTAGTCAGCTAGATGTTTAGACTAGATTTGGTATTTTGTCCACCTATTGATCCCTTCCCAAGCATCTAACATAGGCAGATATTGTTGTTTAATGATATTTAATAGTATCATTGAAGGATGTAAGCTGTTCCTAGTAAAATTACCTCTTGCAATTGACTAATGGTGATTTTGTCAATGCCGATGGCGTTCAAGTGGTGCTCTAGTTGTTTTGGGATTGTGACCAAGATATCTATATTACTACTGATACTATCTTTACTTTCTTCTGCCACAGGTATTCTACTTCTATTCTACTTCTATTTGGTGATCTATCTCCATTCTTTCTCTTCTCTTCTGCTTTCTCCAGGGATTGCAATGTCCACTATCCGGACTTTTAATTGATATATGAATATTATTTCAGAGACATAGAGTTTACTACTTGAGATATCAATTCCAAGAAATACCTGCATGTTCAGACGTCCACGCTGAGCTCCTAAACCATGTCGTAGCATGGAAGAAGACAAGATCTGGTCATCCTCAATTCGATGGGATTCCAACCCGATGGGCGGGCATTCTGAAAATCCAAAGACATGGGCAGGTCATACTTGCAAGCCCTTTGATAAGCCGCTGCTGCTGCTGCCTCAGTTGCCCAAAGAAACGCTCAAAGCATCACTTTTGAGCAGTCATATAGTCAAGTAAAGGCCTTCAAATGGGCAAAATACAGAATGGCCAGGATTTCACAAGTAGACACATACAGTTGCATTGATGCGTCTTTTACTCCTCTATATTGGTAGCTCTTATTTCAACCAGAGTTTTTGCCCCCTCTTTTACCAAAGAGAATCAAGGTGGGGTTACTTTAAGTCTCTTTCTCACACTTCCTTCTTTCCCAGGATTGAGGTGCCATTCCTCATTTATTTTCTCTTAATGGTTCTTCTACCGACTCTTGCATTCCTTTGTCAGCGTGATCTCTGCACTCCTTTACACTTACTTATTTTCTCTTCTGGAGTCCACACATTTTCATCGGTTTCCCATTTTTTCCCTCCTGTTTTCTTTGGCTTCCCTGCACGTGAGGAAGAGGCAAAGGAGAAGTTATTCAAGCAGGAAAGAAAGTAACCAAGAAGATCAAGGACAGTAATTGAGAAACTGAAGGGGAGGCACTGGATTGACAGATGTTAGAGGTATCTTTCTCCAATCTTCTGAAGTCCATGATCCTAAGTTCATTCATGGGAGCTTCTTGGCAGAGTCTAAGCCCCAATTACTCTGCCTGAATATAACACCAAAGCAAATACTCTTTCAATTACAAGCTCAAGAAACTGCTTCTCTCTTCTTTATGGAGCTTACCCACCTTTCTCCTTGCCTTTCTCCTCTGTCCATTTGCTGTCCTCTGTCTCACCCTCCTCTTCCTCCTTGCTACTGCCGCCTCCTTTCTTAAGCTTCTCTGATCCAGAGCAAAGAGAAAAAGCGTTAACACCAGGCATTGAGAGTCCCAACAGAGCAGATTCAATCTTTCTCAAGCTCTTGTTTGTTGGGGCAAATGTCCAGATAAAGAAGATAAGTGATGAGATTGTAAAGCACGCTGAAAGAAGTGCAAAGCCGAAATGGTGGCTTATAGTTGATGAAGAAGTGATGATCACACAACTGGGCTAATTGATGGAAAATGTTATTAGGGCAGAGACACAAAGATGCCGATGTTGATTCTCTTACTTGCTTGAAATTGGGTAGGTTGGGAACTCAACTTGGCATTTGACACATTGTGAGGTCAACCAGTCCATCCAATTCGCATTCCCTCCTAACAACAACCCCCTTTTCCTGCAGGCTCAGGCCAACCCAGTTTCCATGTCCTCACTTGGTTTGAGTTTCTCCTCATCTGTCTCCATCTCACCTTCATCTGTTTCGCTGGGGAATTTTTTAGGCTCCCGGGGAGGCAGACCATAATCCACTACAAGGGAAAATGAGATTGGAAACACAGTTAAAGGAGCATACAGGTTTTCCATAGTTTCACCATCTTTTCAAACATCATCATCATCATCATCATCATTTGGAAGGGACCTTGGAGGTCATCTGGTCCAACCCCCTGCTCAGGCAGGAAACCCTATACCATTTCAGACAAATGGCTGTCCAGTCTCTTCTTAAAAACTTCCAGTGTTGGAGCAGTCACAACTTCTGGAGGCAGGTTGTTCCACTGATTCATTGTTCTATCAGGAAATTTCTCCTTAGTTCTAGGTTGCTTCTCTCTTTGCTATTACAATTTCATGACAGATATATTCATAGAGATTTCTTCAACATATATATTTCACCAGCATAATTCAAAGAAGCCTCCGTAGACTAGATGTTCTCCAGAAATATGAACATATCACTTTCCAGAACTCCTAGTCAACATAGGAAATTCTGGAATGAGAAGTTTCAACATATTTGTACACTATTTCTTTGGATAGTGCCGATGTAAAAACCATGGTGCAGCAATTACATCTGGACTTGGCCACTTCAGAAACTTATGTATACTGTTGCGTATTTCTGAGAAGGCAGAAAAAAAATGGAGCAAATAAATATTCCACTATACAATCATTAATTTAACTTTTCTCTAAATCCTAAAAGGTTAAGTCACCCAGGCCTTTCTCAAAGCCATCAGTTTTATTTCATGACCAAGCTAGCACATCCCAGTATGAATAAAGAAGTTTAAAACATATACTGTAGTCATCTAATTGGTCTTCAGAATATGGAGACGGTGAAGAATATTGACTTCTTCCACCCCCACAATTCCAGCAAAATCAGTTAAAGAGAATTTTTGCCAGCAGGGGAAGTAATAGCATAACAGTCTGTCTTGCAATCGCTTGACTGGAGGTCCATATTAATAGTTTCATAATAAACAAATAAGTGTACATTGAAGAATATTCCTGGGGCCCTTTCCAACTGGAGGATCAAGAAGACTAAAATGGATATGCGTTTCTTGAAGACCAAATTGACCCTTCAGATTTATCTCTTGCTGTGTTGGGAAGTTTACTGGTGTACATTAAAGCAACACCAGGACCCATTCCACCTTCCTAGCTGAAAGGGGGCAATCAACTGATAAATGTCTCTGCATTGTTTCATGTATGTCATTCTTCCTGGACGTGGCTCATGGCCAAGATAGCTGGGGAAGAAGGAAGTTGCAGACCCACACAACAGTCAAGCATCAATAGGGAGAAATTTGGTCCAAGCAATGTGTGCCTGCCTAAGAACTTGACTAAACTTGGATTTGGCTAGTCTAGAGAAAAGAAGGACTGGGGGGGGGAGGGACATGATAGCAGTATTCCAGTAATTGAGAGGCTGCCACAGAGAAAGAGGGCGTCAATTTATTTTCCAAAGCACCAGAGGGCAGGACAAGAAACAGTGGGTGGAAATGAATCAAGGAGAGAAGCAACCTACAATTAAGGAGAAAGTTCCTAACAGCGAGCACAATTAACCAGTGGAACAGCTTGCCTTCAGACATTGTAGGTGCTTCATCACTGGAAGTTTTTAAAAAAGAGACTGGACAGTCACTTGTCTGAAATGGTATAGGATCTCCTGCTTGAGCAGGGGGCTGGACTAGAAGACCTCCAAGTTCCCTTCCAGCTCTATTCTGAGTCTGATTCTGAACTCCAGTGATCTCTCAGGAACAAACATTAGAGAGATTGCTAAAGAAGATCCTATGTGAAGGAGACACAGATTAATCGGATTATTCTTCTTTTATGACCCTTCCATAAAAGGCATGAAATAGCACATACCGTCTTCATAATCGGGCAGCTGGAACCCTCCATCATAGTGACTCTCGAAAGGAGGGGTGGGAGGTTGCTCCACCTTCTCTGCTGAGCAAAACAGAAACAGCAGTTGGATTCCAAAGAGGCAATAACTCCTTGGTTGAAGGTCCTTTGGAAGAAGGCATTCCTAAGCAGACCGTGCTTGTGGCTCTTTTTCTGCTACTAATTGTTCCAAGATGAAGTGTTTAGAAGCACAGAGGCATATGACTGGCAGACATAAAACTGGGGACTATGAAGTATCTTCTGCCTCTCCGGTTAACTCACAGCAGGATGAAGTGGGTGAACATTCCCTCTGGCCCATTACGAGAAGTTGATCGGGAAGAGGCCATCCAGCTAAGATTAGTTGCACAAGGCTGAGCAATCTGAAAGCACATGCATGCCTGCAAACCTTTGAGTCAGTGTTGGCCCTTGGCAGCTGTGTGGACAAATCACTGCAATTTTCTTGGCAAGATTTCAGAAGTGGTTTGTTATTGTCTCCTTTCTAGGGCTGAGAGAGAGAGTGCCTGGCCCAGGGTTACCCATCTGGCTTTGAGCCTAAAGCAGGACTAGAACTTTTCGTCTCCCAGTTTCTAGCCTGCTACCTTAATCACTACACCAAGCTGGTTCTCTATTAATCACAAGGTTGATTTTTTTTTCTCTCTGAAAACAATTAACAGCCTTCTAAGGTCATTGCTTCCCATTTGTGCGTGAAACTAAATTCCTAAGTGTTTTAAGTCTTATGAACTTTCAATATGTAGCTATATCGGGAGAGGGAAACTCTCCTAAGTAGAAAGAAATAGGCTAAATATCCCTTATAATGATGTTTTCTCAACCTTGGCAACTCTGAGATATATGGACTTCAGTTCCCAGAACTGAAGAGAATTGAATCCACACAACTTACAGTTGTCAAGGTTGAAAAACATTGCCCTACAATACCATGCCCACTACGAGCCTCAGGGAGAAACAACAATAATAACAATAATACATTATAACAACATGTCCTAGCCATCCATCAAAATGGCCATCTATTGCCGATGTTGTAAAAACAGTGGCTTTCCAAGGATTCAATCATCTTTCCCAGCTTTAGCTTAAAACCCCAAGACCTGAAGAAGCTCACATTAGTTGAGGGAATCCAAATCAGGGAAGGTAGTCCTATCCAATAAGACAGACTTTTGATAGCCCAATTGGCCAGAGGGTTTTTGAGATCTTGTTGCAACAGATTTAAGGCCAAATGTCATGCTCACACAACATGGGTGAAGTCAAGCATTGAACTAGCCATTTTGGTCTCAGAACCATTGTAAATGCCGCTATCAAAGCAATAGAGGATCTGATTTTTCCATTGCAACCGCTCAGTCACCTGAACTATGAGATGGGCAGAAAATAAATTAAGCAGTAAAATAAATATTTTTTGTGTTTCACCAAGGGGTTGAGAAAGAAATTTGGCCCTTCCCGCCTGCCTCTGTCTCTCAACCTCCTTCTATTTTTGAACCTTCTGATAAAATGATAGGGAGCCCAAGGTCTACCTACTTGGTTTCTCCTCTGGTTCCAGCCTGGGTCTCTCAGGTTTCCTTTGTGGTGTTTTTTTGAGTTTTTTCTCACGCCGGACATATTGGTCTGTAGAAAGAAAAAGGATTCCTTCAGGAGACTGGGAGATTGTAAGAAAGGAGATTCCATCCGTGCGTTTCACCCTACCTTCTATTTTGTCTTCTTGAAGCTATGGAAAGGTTTATTTATTTGTATCCGGCCTTTATTATTTTTACAAATAACTCAAGGTGGCCAAATATATCCAAACACACCTTCCTTCCCCTATTTTCCCCACAACCACCACCTTGTGCGATGGGTTGGGCTGAATGAGTAGGACTGGCCCAAGATCAGCCAGCTCCCTTTCATGTCTAAGATGGAACTAAAACTGACAGTCTCCTGGTGAGCCACCCAGCTGGCTTTCATGTCTAAGTGGGACTAGAACTCACAGTCTCCTGGTGAGTCACCCAGCTGGCTTTCATGGCTAAGACAGGACTTGAACTCATAGTCTCTTGCTTTCTAGCCCGGTGCCTTAAGCACTACACAGTTAGTGAAAGGGGACTGTTACTTTGGATAAAATGAACCAGTGGCCTATCAAAACTGATGTCATAACCTGGGAGTCCTCCAGACGCCGAGGCCTCAGCATCCAGAACCTTCAGCGATGTTCTTGGAGGTGGGAACTCAAGGAGCTGAAGCTCACATTACTTGAGGGAATCCAAATCAGGAAAGGTAGTCCCATCCAATAAGACAGACTTTTGGTAGCCCAATTGGCCAGAGGGTTTTTGAGATCTTGTTGCAACAGATTTAAGGCCAAATGTCATGCTCACACAAGATGGGAAAGTCAAGGACTGAACTAGCCATTTTGGTCTCAGAACCATTGCAAATGCCGCTATCAAAGCAATAGAAGATCTGATTTTTCCATTGCAACCATTCAGTCACCTGAACTATGAGATGGGCAGAAAATAAAATAAGCAGTAAAATAAATAAAATAATATCATTTATGAATCCATTCCGAAGCCTGCACCCACTCCAGCAAAATCCTGCTTGCAAATGCATCTCTTCACTTAGAGTAACACTGTTTGACAGCAGTGCAGGGAATAGCCCTCTTTTCTCCACAGACCTGGAGGGGCAGGGAAATGTGCAAAACGGGGGGCAGGGGGCAAACAAAAAAGCCAAAACTACAGGAAGTGCCAAAGAGATATGAGCATATATAAAGTCGCAATTCTCTAACTTTATAGGACATAAACAGAGAGCCGGAAGCATTCAAACTCCTGTGGTTCCTAGCTCAGTGTCCGGCATAAAATAAGAGGATGAAAAAAATCCCTAGACAGCCAAGCCTTAAGTTTTGGTCCTAATGCCAGGTAGCTTTGCATTTGTTTTGGCAAAATCTCTCTCATCTGTCAAACATTATTCAGAAAACGCTGGGCATTTTCCACTCACGTAGGCCAAAATAAAGCCAGATCACGAGGCGGAAATGAAGGGTAAGTCTGAAGGAAGAGGGAGAGGGAAGGTTTCTGTGGTGCTGAACTGCTTCCTTCTATGAATGTTGGCACAAATCTAAGGCAGATTGAAGGCACTGCAGCATTGTAAACATTATTATTATTATTATTACTACGCGTCCATCATTTCTGCCACCATCTACAAAATGGACCGACTGTTTCACAGCAGAGATCAACCCAGAAACCGCCTTCATTTCCAGCTCGCAGCATGGAATTAAAATAGTTCTTCTGCAGCTCTGAAATGTTCTCTTTCTCTTTTTCTTGAATGCCTAAATGCGAGAAATAATTTTCTTCTGAAATGTGGCTTGGAGAATTTCCGACGCACGTGTCTGCAGGGCACAGAAACATGCAGCATAGTGGTCCCTTTATCCTTTCAAAAATTCAGCGCAAGGGGGGCCACAGTCACTCTTGGTGGAAGATGATCGTTAAGAGACAGTCTAGATTCTCACTGGGGTGGACATCAAAGAGCAGGAAAGAACAGGGAGGTGAGCCACGGACCAACAAGGAGAATATAGGTAGTCCTTGACCATTAATTGCCATTAATTTAGCCACTCTTCAAAGCTACAGCAGCATTGGAAAAAGTTATTTACGATCGATCCTTGCACTTATGTTAAAACTTCCCCATGGTCACATGATCAAAATTCAGGTGCTCGGGACCAGCATGTATTTACGACTGTTGCGGCATCCTGGGATAATGTGATTGATTGCTGTTTGCAACGTTGTCAGGCAACTTCTGACAAGCAAAGTCCATGGAAGAAGTTGGATTCACTTAACAATTGGGTGATTCACTTAACAACTGCACTGATTCATTTAACGGTGACAAAAAGATAGTCATAAAATTGGGCGTGACTCACTTAAGACCTGCCTTGCTTAGCAATGGAAACACGAGTCTTGATTGTCATCGTAAGTTGAGGACTACCTCTAGATAGTATAGAGCAATGTTTCTCATTCTTGGCAACTTGAAGACGAGTGGAGGGAATTCTGGGAGTTGAAGTCCACATGTCTTAAAGTTGCTAAGGTTGAGAAATACCAATGTAGAGCCAAGTCCAAAATATTTGAAACATAGGAGGCAACCTGCAAAAACAGTCAGAACCAGGACCTTTTTGGGCCCAAAGATTGTCCCATAGCAAAAACCATTGAAGCTGCAGAGCCTGGCAGACCCAGTCATAAAAATGACTGGCTATGCCAACCCAAAAAGGCAACTTCTGATGAATCCATCCGAGAGTCATTTCTTAACCTTAACCGAGAAAGATTCTAAGATCCCACTTAACCAAGCAATGAGATATTAGTTCTATGGTCTAACCAGCATCTCTAGAAGCAGGGAGATGTCTATGGAGATTCTCAGTCATCCATGGTTGTCCAAAAGGTGCTTTTTCAAGAGGCCACTGGACTGACTTTGTTTTTCCCTTGAAGATGTTTCATTTCTCATCCAAGAAGCTTCTTCAATTCTGACTGAAGCTTCTTGGATGAGAAGCAAAATGTCTTCAAGTAAAAACAAAGGAAGTCCAGTTGCCTCTTGAAAAAGCACCTTTGGGATAGAAGCAAGGAGGATTTCTGGAACAGCAAGTCTGTAGACCCTACGGTACTAATTCAGCATAGCCTCCATCAGTATCAACCAATGCTCGGCTCCCAAATTCCTAGCCACTATGGCTAATATAGTTAGGATTCTTGCGAGCTGGAAATCCCCACATCTGAAAAGCACTAGATGGGAGAAGGCTGACATAACTGATCAGCTGGGCCTCTCTAGGATATGATGAATCTTTTCCACTCGTGGAGATGCTGGAAATTAAACCCAAGATCAGTTGCCTAAACACATTTGTTCCAACCCTCAGCCAAGAGCCTAAACGCTAAGTACAGGTTCTCCACATCAAAGCCAGGCAAAAGACTGTTGAACTTTAGGGTCACGGATTCCGCAAACTTGAATTAAATTTGCTGGTCACAGAGCACCAAAAAATGGTTTCAAAGATACACTGACCATGGAAATGTCATGAATCTTTTACATTACCTTTTATGGCACCAGAAAAATCACCAGATGTTTCTACACAACCCGAGAAGCCTAGTGGCTAGGAAGACTGGGAAATCTTTTGCTACAGAAAATAATTAAGAGTATGGGTTCCTGTGTTCAAAGGTCCTGAATGGCATATAACAACATCAGATCATGCCCGAATCAAAGAATCACAAAGAATCTGCTATCCTGAAGCCATGGACCTTTGTTACTCTCCACCCACAACAGAAGATGGTTACTCCGCCAGAAACAGTATGACCCTTGGGTAGGACAAGTAAACAAGAGTGGCACCGTACAATCCTCGTAGTCCTCACGCTCAATCTGTTCATTGAAGTCCAGTGTTGGCGGCTCTTGTTCTACAGGAAATTCTAGAGAACAAACAAGAAGCACAGACATTTCCTGAGTCTGGGGGTTGGGTCTGTAACACAAAGCCTTTTGAAGGCAAGGGATAGTTAAAAAGAGAATAGGTTTCATTCGCTTCAACCATCCTTTCCCAAGCAGGTGCTCCCCTCCCCAGACGGATCACAATTCCCTCCTTTTTCTGCCAAGAAGGACAAAATATGTAAGACATAGGTGTATTAAGTGGTTGTTGACTTCCAGCTCAGGTATCCAAATAAAAGTCCAGGATTATTTTCATTTCTGAGAAGCTTACTGTTTATTGAATACATGGCCTGGTAAAGGCAAGGTTAAAACTAACTCTAAAATCCCAAGGCATCAGACCATAGCATATAACAATGCCTTTCCCAGCTAACACCGCCCCCCCCAAGATGCCCATTTAGCTCATGTAAACATGTTCTCTTTGTTATGAGCTATCCGCTCATCTTCACACCTGCTAGAATGTCCTTGAAAAGTTTCCATACTGCCAACTTTCAGCCAGCTTCCATAGAACTGAAAAGGTTTTGTTTTTCTAACTCATTCGAAAACACCTCCCCCCCCCACTTATTCTAATAGCAAGATGAAAACAGAGAGCCACTGTAGCTGCCAAATTTTCACTCTTGACAGTGGTCTTCCATGCAGTAAGACAATGGAGGTCTTATATTTCTTGCTCTTTTAAAACCTCTGCTAATGTTTTGACTACAACTTGCCAAGACACTTCAACAGCAAGTTGAATAAAGAAGGCTTCTCCCCAAAGTGATAGAGCACAAAAGTGCAGGAAAGGAAAATATGAATCACAATTTGTCTCTCACACCAGCCCTGCTTCAGTAAAGTAACAGCCACTTTTACTCCATGCATCACACTGACTATAGCAGATAGTTCTGGCTGGCCCTCAAATTCTTTTGAAATCCTGTTTTCAGCATGCTGGCTTTTTGCACAGATGACAGCAGTTACATTCCACTCCGTAAGGAAATTTATAATGAAGATTTGGCCAGATGCAGAACAAGAAATGCATCTATGAAGAATTTTCTAGGATCGCTAAGAAAAATGGATCTAATCCGATGGTGGGATTCAGGAGTTCCCTTAGGCCAGGGGTAGGCAACCTTGGCTCTTTTATGACTCGTGGACTTCAACTCCCAGAATTCCTGAGCCAGCCATGCCTTAAGCATATACCAGTCTCCGGGTAGTTTAGAAGACAGGTTAAGAAGTTTGTTTGCAAGAAGAGTGAAGAAATATCTTCCTTAATCCACTTTGTGGTCTTGACAACATGATTTAAAGATAGCAAGAGGTCTGAGAAACACCCAACCTTGGGAATTAACGTCTGTTTTTACCTGGCTTACCTTCCTGATCTTTGTCACCTGTGGGGGTCTCCTGTGGCTCCGTTGGAGATTCATAGACATCGGCTGAAAAAAAGGACAATCAAATTATCAGGGATGTAAACACATTCCTCTGTAAAGGATCCATCTGGTTCTTACTTTATATAGACAACCCTCTGATCTATTCTTATTTTGTTCTTTTATGGGTAACTCACAATCTGCATGCTATAGATCCATCCAAAACGTCTTACTTGCCACTGAATTCACTCAGGGCAATTTGTTGTTAAATCCAATGCTTCCATTTTAAATACATTTTAAAGTTGAAAATCCATTAAACTGGGAAAATCACCTTCTGGATTAAATTTCACCTTTTTCTAGCATGGTCTTATCGACTATAACTCCTTCAGCACATCTGTCAGTCCACAGCATTGTTGTTACCTTGAGTTTAATCATCCTTGCCCTCTTCATATGAAATCTCTTTGGCTCCTTCCTACTGGGATGATTCTACATTATGCAACTTCCTGATGAATATAATATTCTATCCTTATCCTTATTCATGCCTTTTCCCTTTTTCCAGATTTTAAACTCCTTTCTCAAATAGCCTTAGAAGTAGCCCATAAATACCTCTTGAGATGTTATTGTTATACCCCATAATCTGATTACACTTGATGCTGATATATACCCCATAATCTGATTATACTTACTGTGAAACCTGGACGGATCTTGTTTTTCAATTATCTTCTCAGGATACAGAGCTGCAGGATAAAACAGTTGGGTGAAGGATATACTGTATTAATATTGGACTTACGAGTTAAAACCTGAACTATTCTTGTTGGGAATAACTACGGAAAAGTACAACAAGGGAACAATCTATTTGCTGTCACACATCTTGACGGCAGCGAGGCTCGCATTAGCGCAAAAATGGAAGAGCAAGGAAAATCCTACAGAGGAAGAATCATTATATAAAATATTAGCATGTGCGGAAATGGACAGGCTCACAATGGTATTGAAAGACAAATGTGCATCAATTTATTTCGAAACCTGGGATAAATTTTACCACTGGAGGAATTCGAGGAGGACAGTTGGGATTAAAGGTTAGCGTTAAGATAGAAATATATATTATTTTAGAATAAGTACTGTATATAAAACTTAGATGTATAATTAGAGATGAAGAATTGATTGTAAAATGTGGAACAACTTGGTAAGAATGTATATACTGGAATGTCACGTTATATCCAACGTTTTTTAATTGTATTATAAATAAAATTTATTTAAAAAAAACCAAAACAGATATTGTCAAAGATGAGCACTCTTTTTTTTTTCACATCACACTAAACGTTGATTGATTGGGTTGTTTTTTTTTAATGTGACCAACTAACCCAGAATATTGCTTTAAGGTTTAGTGTGATGTGTGATGCAAAGCAATGGGTCAGTTTGCACAAAACACTAAACCCAGTTTTTTGTTATAAAAAAATAGGGACTCCTGAACAAGCTAGGAACCATTCAGGGTCCATCTTGAAGATCAACAAAATAATGATGGGTTGTTTATCGAGTTTGTGTCTGAGGATGACAATTTTGCAGTGCAATGCTCCTGTAGCATAATGGGGGGAGCTGTGGGAAATTAAGAAGCAAAAGAGAGTAAGGTACTGGGTAAATTTCTCTTAAGAAGTAAGAGAAGGATGAAAAAGTAGTTTAAAAAAAGTGGAGACAGGGTAAGTCTGGGTTCACACATCAAGTCTTGACATTACGTGCAGGCTAAGTCACTGTGTGGTGAAGACATGAGGTTGTAGGATGGATGGGAAAAGCCCTGGAACTTACATTCGCCCCCTTCTTCATTGACTCGGGAAAGGTCATCTTCTCGACCGTAGGGAAAGAGATAATGGGGTGAATCGGGTAACCCATAGCCATCTTCCTCTCCGGTTGGAGGCGGGGTCAGTGGTGTTTCCGGAAAGTGGTACCTCTCTTCCTCCTGTGGAACTGGAGGAGAAGGCCTTTCTGCCTTCTTTCCAGCTGCTGGTTTCTTGGTGGCTTTGGGACGCTTCTCCTTAGGTTTCTTGGTGGCTTTGGGACGCTTCTCCTTTGGCTTTTTGGTGGGTTTGGGAGGCTTCTCCTTCTTGGGAGGCTTCGGCTTTGGGGAGCCCTTGGGTGGTTTCTCCTTCGGCTTTTTTGTGGGTTTAGGTGGCTTCTCCTTCTTCCCCTTCTTGGGCTTCTCTGTCACTCTTTCCTGTGCTACTTTGGGAGAGAGAAGATGGTTAGTTCTCTACATTTCTAAATAAAACCCAAGAGTCGGAGAATCTATTACACTGGACACATCCTAACTCAGTGACGGCGAACCTTTTAGAGACCGAGTGCCCAAACTGCAACCCAAAACCCACTTATGCATCGCCGAGTGCGGTGGGTGTGGCCCATTGGGTGGGTGTGGCCCATTGGGTGGGCGTGGCTGCGGTGGTAACGGCAGACTGGGTGAGACTAAAAAGTTCAATCAATCAATTTCAACTTTGCAAGATCTTTTTTTTCCCGCGAGAAGTTGAAATTGACTGATTGATTGAACTTTTTTTTTTTTGCACACGGCAGCGGAGGACTAAAGCAAAAAGGTTTTATAAAACCCAGCTGAAGGCCTAGGACTGGGGCAACGGTGCACGTGCCCAAAGAGAGGGCTCTGAGTGCTGCCTCTGGCACCCGTGCCGTAGGTTCGCCACCACTGTCCTAACTCTTATTCAACGAAATTCTTGGTTGCAGGCAATGGACTTACTTGTGAGCCACTCAAACTTTTTACCAAAGCATCCCCCAGATACAACAAAAATAGACTCACCATCAAGACCACAATAAAGATATTAATTATTACCACCGTTGCTCCTTTCCCTCTGATTCAGTAACAAATGGATGACACCGTACTCTTGACACAAAAGTAGATTTCATTCAGGTTTCCTTATGGAATTTTTCCAGAACTTTTCTTTCTGGGAAATCCTGAACATGAATGCCTGAACTAGATCTGGCAAAGGGTCTGGGTCTATGAATCAGAGGCTCTCCCTGGACAGACTGCTGGTGATTAATGTCAACTCATAACCCCAACAGAGCAACAGCCTCATTCCTAAATTCTGAACTGCAGCATGTCTACAGCCTGTGGGAAGAACACCCGAGGCCAGTTTGGGCAACAAGCTATAAAACAGCCTGGCATTTACAGTTATACGAAGAGAGGAAGCGTCCTGCTGGCAGGCTGTCTCAGAAACCATAATTCTCATATCTCCTGACATCTCTCTCTCTCCTTTTGCACAGAGGTATCAAGTCCATGACTAAAGCAAGGTCAGGAATGTGCACAACAAGATCTAGCTGTCTAAACTTTTCCTGCTGTATCAAGCCACAAAGGAAATCAAGGTTGGAGACTCTATTGCAAGGGTCTTCAAACTTGGCCCTTTTATGACTTGTGGACTTCAACTCCCAGAATTCCTCAGCCAGCATGCCTGGCTGACCAATTCTGGGAGTTGAAGTCCACCAGTTATAAAAGGGCCAAGTTTGAAGACCCCTGCTCTACTGTATTCAGAACCAAACCAGGATGGAGAATGGAAAAGAACAGCAAAGAGTTCTTTGGGACAATTGTGCATAAGAAAAGGTCCGCTTCCAATTCCGACTGAGTCATGTCCAAGCTGTGATATTCCCTCCACCCAGCTCCAGACTGCCTGGGCAAGTCCTACGTGCCAAGCTAAGCAACTACAGTTGAGATTCGTCAGCGATAATCCACATGTAACTGTCTAGCTAGTTCAAGGCTCCTGCAGGGCAGAAGACAACACTTGAAGGCACATGTTAAGAAAGGCGAGCAAAACTATCAGCTAAGAGGGATTAAGCAGATGGGAAAAAATTAGGAATGCAGTAAAATCACTTGAATGCATCATCAGAAGTATGTTTCCAAGAACCGATTGGGCTTTCCTCCAGCTGATTAGGGCTGTTTGAGAGGCCTCACTTGAAAGCTCCACACACATTCCCAACTCAGATAATTTCTCTGTAATGAGGAAAAATGTGTAGCCTGTCATATCAGTGACATAGTACAAGTTCCTGTTCTGTTGCCAGCACATACTCAGCAGCCAAAGCACATGTCTCCCACAAAATTATCTCCATTAACATTAACATGGCCTGTTGGTGCTCTTACTAAAGACCCCTGCCCCCTGGTTTGGCAGGCAAATTCTGACACCCCCTTGAAAAACAACAGAGTCCTTTCTTGACGCTTGAAGAAAGAACACAAAACCCAGTTTAAGCCTTAAAATAAACGAAATGTATTTTTTAAAGGAAGAAGGCCTTTAAGCATGGAAAACGGGGAAAATATTTTCTCCATACTTAGGTACAGGTAGTCCTTGACTTATGACCACAACTGAGCCCCAAATTTTGGTTACTAAGCAAGACAGCTGTTAAGTGAGTTCTGCCTCATTTTGTGATCTTTCTTGCCACAGTTGTTAGTTGACTCATGCCGTTGTTGAGTTAGTAACACGGTTATTACGTGAATCTGGATTCCCTGTTGACTTGGCTTGTAGGAAGGTCATAAAAAGGGGTCACGTGACCCCGGGACACCGCAACCGTCTTAAATATGAACCAGTTGCTAAGTGTCCGAATTTTGATCATGTGACCCTGGGGCTGCTACTACGGTCATAATTGTGAAAACTGGTCATCACTTTTTCAGTGACATTGTAACTCTGAACGGTCACTAAACGAATGGCTGTAAATCGAGGACCACCTGTATTTCCGGTTTCCGGTTCCTCCCAGCTCATTATGTCTGATCTTGTTCACTCTTTGCCTAAAATGAAACCAAAGATCACCTATTAAGAAGCTGCTCGATTGGGTATCCTGGTTAGAACAATGGGGATCCATATTTCAGTATCGACTCAGTTTTATTGTATGATTTTGGATTGATCTACCTCATAGGATTGTTGTGCAGATAACGTGTGTTCTCCAGACAGAAAAACAGGATAGAAATCATAATAAGAATTTTTTAAAAGCAGGGGAGAAAATTGTATACGATGTTTTGTGCCTCTGGGAAGAATGGAAGGTGAAATGGATAATAAATTAATATCATGTACTACTTACATTTTATAATTACGCAATTACTGGGGAATGCATAATAACATAAGCTTTTATCTGACTCCTGGGATAGCTTCCATTGGAGAAGAAATGGAACTGTGAGCCAGATACCACAAATAAAATTTAACTATCTTTAACCGAAATCCATTCATCAACTTTCCTTGTCAAGGGGTTCTGCTCCTATTCTAACTGCAGGCAATAACTTGCAACAACTTGCATCAAAAGGCGCAATCAGCCAGTTTAATGAGGATCAGATAAATAGTGCAGTGGTTTCTTGCAGCTACAAATGCTAGAATTAATTCTGTACCTCACAACTACATGTATGGAGATCTGCCCTGGGGTAGAGACTACCCTTGGGGGGTATGTGTCTAGCTAAACATTCCCCCCCCCAAAGCTGCAGGTGCCCAAAATAGTAACCTTGTTGGAACAAAGCTGATATAAGTTCAATCAACATCTGGATGGAAGCTGCCTAATAAATCTCATTAAATCATGGTTTTACCAAGCTGTAACAGGACACACACAATTCTGTGCTATGAAACACTGTTTACGAAGGACATTAGCTAGGTTCCTCATCCATGGGAATCCAAAGCTAGATAAAGACAGGCCTGCTGAATTCTTATATTGCACTCGGCTAATATTTGTTGCCTTATGGTCCAGAAGGAAAGAGGTTTTAAAAATATACATATTAAAATATGGAATCAGGTCACAAATGCATCCATCTGCATCCTGCAAGGCATCAACAATTCTACACATTTCTTTAAGAACAAACCACGAAGGTCTCTGGCACAAGTGAAGAGTTTCTGTCCTCAATTATGAAGGACATGCCATGGGTGAAGAATTAATAAATGCTAATATATCACTAGTCAGAAGACATTACATGAGTAATAGGCAATAACTATAAAAGGAGCAGCAGCTGTTCCATAAATATATGCTTTAAAAACAAAGGCAAGATCACATATTGGCACGAACCAACTCTCTCCTGGGACACTTTTTTCTGGTTTCTGGGCTTTTAAGGGAAGGTTGAAAAAGAAACTGAACAGGAGGAACTCTCTTGAGGAGACATGATAGGACAGCTAGCTGCATAGTTTGCTGATTTCTCAGCCCAAGTGCATGAAGTGGAAAGAAGAAATTTGCACCCACAACATTCCTGCCCATTTCCTAATAATAAACAGTAACAATTTTATAACAGCCTCAGTTTTCATGGACTTCCTCAGATGAGCTCTGGCTCACGTTGGCCACTAAGGACCGCAAGTGAACCGCAACAGGAAGCATGGACAATGATTTCACTCCTAAAATTAGAAACATGCTTTTCCCCCCAATAACTCCATTTTCTCTCCATAGGTAGATCAACCAATGGAGGACAATGAACTCTTGTTCATGAGAACTTCTACCACAATACGTTTTTAGGATGCAGGGAAGTTTTCCTGCTGTGTCCACAGATATTAGAAAGGCTGGTGTTCCTTGAGGGACCAACTTCTCCAATAAGATGTTGGGGCAAAAGATCCTGAGCCTAAAAATTTTTCTAGCAAGCACAAAGGGCAACACAGATTGATTTATTTGCATGTGTTCATTTCAGGTCTTCTATCCTGTCTTCATTTGGGGAGCTTAGTATGACACCTATGGGGGTCTGCTTCATTTTAGGAAATAGGTTTGATTGGGAGATAGTATCCAGTTCAGAGTTAATGAGAGTCAAGGGTTTCCCAGATTGTAATCCAGCATCTTCAACATTAGCCATATGAGCTTCCAGAAGCCCTGAGTTCCTAGATAACAGTAACATAGCACTCCTGGACTAGAATGAACAAGAAATGAAACACAAAACTTTGCTAATAAAATAGTAGCACATCCAACTTTCAGCATCTTCCAGGCTTAGTAAATGAACTTTGATTATCTAAATTTACTGTCACTGTATTTAGGGCAAGAGAAGGCTGTGAAACAAAACTTTCTTTACTTTCACCAATAGATACTCTTGTGGAAAGTTTAAAAATCTCCATGCATCATGCTACAACATTTAAATGTGGTTTGCTGACTATGAGAGAATTGGCCGGGCTCACGTATCATGCAAAACACAGGAAATGGGGAAACTTTGACTCTTGGATTACAACTCCAGCTATCCCAGCCAGCAAAAAGAGATGCTGTGTGTTGCATTTCACAGTCTCAGGAAGACCACGAGTTTGCCATGCCTGCACTAAAATGACAACATTGAGCTTAGAAGCTGCAGTGGCTAGATTCCAGTCAAGATCAAGCCAATGAAAATAGATTCTGACTTAGCTTCATAAAGGGACATATCTGTTAAGTCAAGCCACTGATCAACTGGATCTAATCAAAAGCTACCATGTCTGGGCAAAAATTAGATAGAAGCAAAATAACTCTCTGTTGCCACTAAAGGTTTTTGCAGACCAGAGATGGAAAGTCTGATTTAATCTGCAGTGCTCTGAGTAGCAGTGTCTCCCTGCAAGTCTTTCCTAGCAGTTCTCCATCCAAATGATAACTTAGGATCTCCTTGGCAATAGAGCAAGCAACTTTTCTCAGCCTTGGCAAGTGGCAGAGTAGACGTCTGCACATCTTAAAGTTGCCAAGGTTGAGAACCGCTGATGGTAGAGGAGATTGTAGAGATAGGCTGACATATTAGGTCTCACCTTCTTCCACCTCTGTTGGGGCTTTCTCTCCTTCTGCAGGATTCAGGTTTCCTTGGTTCTCAGGAAGTTCCAAAGCCACAGCCACTTTCTCTGCCTCTGGCCCTTCTAAGTCCTCGTCCACCTCTCCCAAGAAGCCTTTCAAGAATTCCTCAATTTCATGGTCCGTCAACACGGACTGGGGTTCCACAAGACTCCGGTTCCAGAGACACAAGATTCCGACCAGCAGGGAAAGAAGCAGCGGGGGACCAGCACCTTTCATCATGCAGACCGATGGCAATCCAGGGTCTTGGGAGAAAGGAAGGGGGACACTTCCAGGTGGTCTTCTCCCTCTGTTGCTGGGGTAGGAAGCTGTCTTCTCCTGGAAGACAGGCTAGAGGCTAGAGGCAGCCTAGACCAAAGGAGGGAAGGAGAGAAGCAGCAGCTCAAACTCGCTTAAAAAAAAACACAACCGCTTGAGTCCAGGAATTGACTTGCAGAAGGGAACAAGGAGGAAGGCGAAGGAGAGGCCCGTCGGAAGAAGGAGAGAAGTCGGTTTTGGTCAGAGAGACGCCGGGTCTTCTCCCAGCTCAAGCTCCAGCCCAGCAGTTTCGGGAATTGCAAAGCTCAGCAGGGAAGCGGCAGGATTCGCCAGCGGTCCGCGCCGTCTAATAAGGCGCAGCAAAGCAGCCGAGGCCCGAGGGGCGACTGGGGACGCCAAGTGGGCAGGGCGAGCCGGAGCACCCCGAAGAGACAGTGCCGCTGGCTGGCTGGCTGGCTGGCTGGCTGGCTCGCCCGCCCCTTCGAGCTCTCGCTTCCTCGCAGCCTCCGGCCGGTCCTTTCGGCCCGGGAGCCTCCGGTCCCGCAGCAGGGAGACCGGACCTGGGGGAAGCCACCGGTCCGCGCAGATGCTCTTGGCCCCAGCTCGGTCCGTCTCTTCTTGGCCACCAGACGCCGGGCTCAAGGGACCGGGGCAGGAAGGGTGTTGCTAGCGGCCTCGGGGAGCCTCCAGATCCAGTTCGAGCGAACGGAGCTGGTCTCCTCCCCCGACTGCGGTCGGTTCCCCCCCCCCGGCCCCCGATGCGATCCCAGCGAAGGGTGGGTCTCGGTCGGCTTCGCCACGTGTAGCCAGCGCAGTTCAACTCCGCTCCTCAGTTGCTGGGCTGGGGCTGCCGGAGTGGGTTTCCTCCTCTGCCCCCCCCTCCAAGACGCCCTCCCTCGGGAGGGAGGGGGGGTCGCTTAATTCGCGGGGGGAGAGGAGGGGGTGCGCGCCCGATGCCTGGTGCTTTCTTTCTGGGGGGGGGAATTGTGTGATGGGGAGTGCCACATAAATGAAGGAGGGAGGAAGGCAGAGCCAAGCCAGACTCTGCCCACCCAGCCTTACTTTTAGCCCCCGTGGAACCAATATGAGCCTTTTAGGGAGCAGCGGTGATAGAATAAGCTGGGGGGGGGGGTTGGAAGCATTAAGAAATTGCCATATATCAATTCAAGATATATGTCATCTTACCAGACAACTAGGTCATGTCTGGCTTACAAGGGGACAGACCCACAATTTCCCATGCCTGGGAACTGTTTAGTTTTTGTTTTTTTTTAATATTTTTTATTGAATAACAAAAATTAAAAAAACATTGAACATGGTAAATCAGATTTGACATACATCACAGTTCATATTCAAAATTAACTACTAATATAAGAAAAAAAACCCTTTACAATAACATCACTCTAATCTCAATCTTAACTTATCTCATTACAATGACTACCATATTTTTCCCCCACCATCTATAAAATTTATTCCAAATTTGGTACAAATCCATTTCATCCTGATTTTTGAGTCTCTTAGTTAACCTATCTAATTCTGCACAGTGCATAATTTTATGAATTAAGATTTCCTCACTAGGTATAGCCGTAGCTTTCCAATTTTGAGCGAATACAATTCTTGCCGCTGTGACCACATGAGTGAATAAATATATATCTTCTTTACTAACATTATTTTCAAGAATTCCTAACAACAATCTCTCAGGCTTATACTGGATGTTTTGCATACTCATTTCTGTTACCTGGGAACTGTTTAGTGACATGATAGCAATGCTCCAATATTTGAGGGGCTGTCCCAGACAGGAGGACGTCAGCCTATTTTCCAAAGCACCCCAAGGCACAATGGAGGGAAACTGATCAAGGAGAGATTCAACCTAGAAATAAGGAGAAATTTTCTGACAGTGAGGACAATTAACCAGTGGAAGGGGCTTGCCTTCAGAAATTGTGGGCGCTTCCACTTGTCTGGAATGGCACAGTCTCCTGCTTGAGCAGGGGGTTGGACTAGATGACCTGTAAGGTCCCTTCCAACTCTGTTTTTCTATTCTATTCTGTTCTTTTTAGCTTTTAGACAATAACTGTTTGCTCAAATTGGCAGCAAGTCCTGCTCCGTACAGAGATTGGACAGCCATTTGTCTGAAATGGTATAGGGGGGGTTGGATTAGATGACCTCCAAGGTCCCTTCCAACTTTATTATTATTATTACTATTATTATTATTAATATTATTATCTGTTTCCTCAATCTCCTCCCTTCTCCACCTCTGTTCACTGGATATGGGTAGCCCTCGAACCTACAACCCACCATTGGGAACAGAATTAAGGAGAAACTTCCTAACAGTGAGGACAATTTACCAGTGGAACAGCTTGCCTCTGGAAACTGTGGGTGCCCCATCATTGGAGATTTTTAAGAAGAGGCTAGACGGTCACTTGTCTGAGATGGTATAGGTCCTCCTGCTTGAGCAGGGGGCTGGACTAGAAGATCTCCAAGGTCCCTTCCAGCTCTATTTTATTCTACTTTGAGATTCAGCAACTTCTGAGGACCAGAATAGCATATATCTTTCAACTGAACATGTAAACCTCTGGACGTTCTTTTGTGCTTCCCCAGAGTCCTATTGATGGGCTTCAGATCCATCACGCTGAAGTATTGTGCAACAGGGGCTGTGTCCTTCCAAGAAGAAACTAGCCACCAGACTATAATTGTGGCGTCCTTGGTGCTATACTTTTCCATCCCACATTTGCAAAGACTTTGCTTTGCTCTGCATTTTTGCCACATGCAGACCACAGGCTGCCATTTTCATTACACACACAGCCTCACTCATGCCAGGCTGAGCTCAGCCTCAAAAGAGTGGGGGACTCAATGCTTAAGGTTCCATGAGTCGCCATTGCAAGGCTGCAGCCTCTGCCAGGGGAACATCCCTAAATGGATTCTAGATCACGAAAAGAAAAACTTTTCTTGAATTGAAGGCTATGAAATCTAGAAACAAAAGTCAGAAAATACTTTGGGAAGAGGAAAAGGCTATTGGACATTAAGAGTAAATGAGATGACTTTTTGGACTCTGTACTGTTTAGAATCTCTTTCATTATAGAAGAAGCGATGATCTTTTACTATTGCTTTTTAAAAACCACACGAATGAGACAAGTTAACTTGAATACAAAGAAAGAAGAATATGAATACTGTCCGGTGTTTGGCAGTTACCAATAACATTTGTATCCATTTATAATGACATCATGACTGTCATTAAATGGATCCAGTTATAAATTAGAAGGAAATACGATGGCACAACAACGTTAATCATGGGATACAGTGCCTTTTGTCTAAGTAGGCATCGATCCATCAGACATTTTTTATGCAGTGGTAATCTCCTTGGATCGCTGACATACTTTCTTGTGACTTGGACTAATCTTTCGCAAGTGATGCTGGACCTGGTTTTGTTTATGTACAAAACTTTAGTTCCATAGTAATGAGAAGAAACCCTTGCTAGATTAGACTTAAGATCCAGTGCATCTAGCATTAGACTTCATGCACAGGCCTGTTGCATGAATCTGAAGATAACACCAATGGCTTTCCCTCACACTGGAACCACCATATAATAACAATAGCACTTAGACTTATATACCGCTTTGCGGTGCTTTACAGCCCTCTCTAAGCGCTTTACAGAGTCAGAATCTTGCCCCCAACATTCTGGATCCTTATTTTTACTAACCTCGGAGGGATGGAAGGTGGAGTCAACTTTGAGCTGGTCAGGATTGAACTGCTGGCAGTCGGCAGTCAGCAGAATTAGCCTGCAATACTGCATTCACTGTGCCACCACGGCTCTAAAATAAATAAAATATTTTACCACCTTAGGCAGAAACTCCCTAATTCTCTCACTTTCTCATTGTCTGATAGTAAAACCAACAATCGTAAACTAAACAGCAACAATTCAATTTCTTTTCATGATAATCTTCTCAGATAGTCAATTTACATTGTCTTCTGGTGGGATTACCAACATATAGCCAGTTCTGTGAACACCCATGAATGGACCACTGTCCTCTTAGAGTTATACTCTGGCTGAAGTATGTTTTTAATAGGTCAAAATTGACATATCCAGGAAACCACACCATCAAAGGAGCCTCCTTTTTTGGAAATGCACAATTAGGTGGTGAAGAGAAGAAGCAAGCAATTGGTATTAATTGAAGTTTTGAAAAAAATGTCCTTATAATCAAGAGCAGAAGAAACAGCTCCTCAGTCATTTGGATTTCCTTCAGCACCATCTCCATTCCACTTGGCTGCTTAAGAGCCCCAAAATATTAAACCTCAGACCTGAGTTTTGTTCCCCTCACTTCCTTCTTCTATTGGGACATTTCCTTTTAAAATGCAAATCAGAAAGTGTGGAGATTAGATAGATCGATAGATCAATAGACTGATTCTCTAATCCTTTGTCTCTAGCTAAAGATTAGCTGCCATTGAGTAGGGTTCATTCAGTTCATGGCGGCCGCATGGAAAATGTTGAAAATTTTACCTCAGTAATAACCTGTAGTTCTTCCAAGGACATTTCATAATCTCTTTGATCCCATCCATCTATTTTATCCATTGTCTTCCCCATCTCTGATTTACCTCAGCCATGCCAAAGAGGTGGTCCATTAATCTTTTCACAACACAGGTCCAAAATATCAGCACTTCTGGCTGAAAAATTGTTCCTCAGTGTTTTGATTTTTTAAAAAAATGAAGCTGTCTCACACAACAAATAATCTTGGCTCCCTCCCTGAATGAAAGGACTCATTCAACCTGCTCACTGAATTCCAGTGCAACATTCCAGTGGAAAGATGTGACTTTACTTTCCACAGAGGCCCCCTCTTAACATGACTCCCATATAGATGTAGCGCTATATCTTTGAGATGTCAGTCTGCAGAAGGTTTGAACGGGAAGGGTGGCGAAAATAGGATATGGCACCACCCCTGCTCTGCCCCCGCCCCTGCCCGCTCTGCCCCAGCCCTGCCCCCACGTGCAGGGCCATCCACTGCCTCTACGGCTGTGGTTCTCAACCTGTGGGTCAGGACCCCATTTGGGGTCGAACGACCATTTCACGGGGGTCGCCAAACAACGCAGTCCACCATTTTTTCCCCCTTTTCCTTAGCTGTGCTACTCCCTTTTATTCTATTGGCTTTTGAAAGCCAATAGAATAGACTCTCTTGAATAGAGTCTAATTCTATTGGCTTTCAAAAGCCAATAGGAATTGTCCAGACTGTCTCTGCCCTGCTGAGCCCGCCAAAAGTCCCATTCTGCAAATGGTGCTACACCAGTTGAGTAGTCCTCGACTTACGACCTGTTGGGTCGTGGCATTAAAAAGGTTGAGAACCACTGGTAAGGCCTGCCGCAGATCACCCAAGCGGCCCAGCAGTGCTATGGCAGCCACGCCTTCCACCTGCGCCCCGCAGCATCAACTGCGCACAACAGGGCGCAAGGGCAGAGTCATCCCTGCTGCCCAGCTGCCATGTCCTTGGCTGCACTGCTCCTCACGGGCCATGCTCAAGGGTGACTCTCCTCCAGGAGGGCTGCTGGTGAGGAGGAGGCTGTGGGGGCAGGCGTGGCTGGGGCGATGGTGCACGTGCCCATAGAGAGGTCTCTAAGTGCCACCTCTGGCACCCGTGCCATAGGTTCGCCACCACATTATTTCCCAGGATGGTATTTCCCAAGCTAGAGACCTCTCAGACAGCACAGTATTCTGGGATCTGCAGTTCTAAAATATCTGGAGGTCTCCTGGATGGAAAAAGCAGCTTTAAAATTTAAGAAGCATCTTGGATGAGAAGTAAAATGCTTTCAAAGAAGAAGAAAAAACCTCCAAGAAAGTCCACTTGCCTTTTGGAAAATGCACCTTTGGGAAAAGCATCAGTTATCGTAAATGTTTAACATTCAAAACTATCAGCTAGCAAGGAGTTAACAGGAAGTCTGCTCTGAGGCTGGAGGTGGGTTTATTATTAATATTTGCTGAGCTAAT